CCTTACCGAAATCTTTTTCCCGTAACTTCTGCACTTTCCCTGCCAGCGAAGAGTGAACACCTATATGTTGGAAAAGAGAGGGTCGATGTCGAATGCGGTGCTGCTTCGCAATCTGAAAAAAGACGGAGATATTGGTAATGGAAGATAAAGTTATTAACACTTTACCTACTTCATCAATATGGTAAACACTGAAATAAAAGACAAACTAAAACTAGCTACGTCAATATGTTTGAGATATAGAAACACAATTTCATATCAAGTTTGGCGTAATAACAGAATGATGCACGCATCCTCGCGCACCTAAACTTCTTGCTTAACATGTAAATTTGCCAGTTTTTAGTTAAGTGAAGTTTCATATCAGGAATGACGAATTCAACAAATGAACTAAAAGAGCAACATCATCAAAAACGCTGTAAAAGAACTCCCAACACAATCTCTCTCACATATCTCAACTGACCATCTAAATTTAAAAAGATCAATAAAAAAAAACCCTTAAAAATAATACATCTTGATCCACGTGACAATATTGCAATCAGATTTCAAACTTAGCTTAATTGCAAACAACAAACCGCTAGTAAATATGATCCTGGCATGACGTTTTTATAATGAAAAAGATACAGCAGCAAGCATTATATTCAGGAATTTCTGATGAACAAAACAAAAGGACAACTACAATTAGCCGAATCTCCATAGGATCCGAGTACGTTCTGGAAGTTATAACGTTGATTATAGTGTTTTCTAATGAAATTGCAACGCCTGCCGAAATGCACATATTATACACTTATGAACCATTCTGCAGCATAACCTTTCAACACAACCCTGTGTTGAAAGGTTATAAGAGGTTGTGAAATTTCATATTTTTTTAGGATGGATGTAAACCTCAGCACAATGTTTAGCGGACTTCTCCGGATGACAATATCGATTTACAAACAGCAGATCTAACAACCAGTCCACTGGTTTCTGTTTATGGAACATTGCGATGAACTGTAGTAACAATGTAAGATCGGAGGTTCGAAAAAGTTTTCCAATGAAGCCTAAGGATGAAAACTCAAGCATGAGCCAATCATCGGTCATTCTTCCATCAATAAACTTTTTGATACGACTGACATACCCTGGTTTTGCGAGTACATCATCTTCTAGCTGTAAATAATACTCACCTGAAACAATATTTCGCTTAAATTCTTTGCTTATGAATATTTGAATAACCTTAACCAAATTTTATAATATTAACATATTTTGACTGAAATTTACCTCGTTGTTGGGAGTATAACATCAAATACATATAATCTAAATTCTGTTTCGTACGCCAATACATTCGTTCTGGAGAATCATTAAAAGTCGGAGTGATAGAATATAAATCAGAATACCACTCGTTAGGTGGAACAATAACCTGAAAGGAAATTTTTGTGACTCAAAATGACACACTGTTTCTTTATTATGCTCAAAAATTAAGAAGCAAAAAATAAAAAACAAAACAACGCTGGTTCAGCGTTGCTTTGAAGACATAAAATAAGTCAGGTTTTAGCCTACGTAATAAAAAAACGGAGAAAAAATATTTCTTTCTTAAGTACTTTGTATACTTCCTTATTGAGTACTAAAAGATTTTCTAAGCTGCAGTTCAATGATACACAGAAACAATATTTGTCGAAAAATATTATACTACAGGAGATTCGTAACGAAACATACCGTTAGCAAACCAGAGTTTAGTTCAAAAGGAAATTCTGACTGCAATAAAGTGCACTGATATTTTACGAATGAAGAATTGGAGCCTTTGCTGTCGGAAATGAGAACAATAATTGTGACCATTTCAATTTCACTGCTTGCTATTCCTCCGATTAATGATTGCAACGTCGGTATCAAATAAGACTGCTATACATAACAAATTTATAAATTATTTTAACGATAAATTTATTCAGATAAAATGAGATTATAAGAAGAGAGCAAACTAATGAGTATAATTCGCCAGTCAAACAGTGAAGATTTCAATAGCAACGTACATTGAGCCGAGCAACTGTTGGTATGCCAATAACAAGGTCCGTCTTTTTCATCTTTGAAAAATTATTTGGATAAATTAATGCAGGATGTAAAGCGTGATTCGGAACAGTATAGAGATGAGGCAAAAAGTCGATAAATGTTGGTAGTGGTAGTGCCAATTCCTGGAAACAAATTACAGATATTAAATAGGGATAAAAAATAAACAGAGTTCAAACAAGTTTTAGTTTTTTACACCCAACGTTACTATCAATTAATTTAGTGGCACAGGTTTGAATAGTCATCCCGAAGGAAGCTTTTTAAACTGACTCATCTCATGGAGCAATTATAACGTATTTTTCAATTATATCAACTATCAACTTTTTACTGATTCCATGAAGTCTTGATTGAACCCCACATAAAAATGGTTGAATATTTAGATGATAAATGACCAGTATATCTTTACATCTAAGTCACCAAACGATGAACTTCCCACTTGGAAAAATCAATAAACTGACTAGAAATCTCTTTTTCCTCCATCATAATTTTTCAAAGCGCAAATATGATTGTAGGTTCACAGGATTTATGATTCCCAAGAATACTAAAAGATGGACTTCACAGAAATGAATAAATCATAAAAATATCACTAAGAATAGAAAAGCATCACTTACCTTTGTATCATTAGCTAACAATTTTGGCAAATTGTTGGATAAATAACATTTTCGATCTCGATCCTTCAACAACATTTGAGTCTAAACTGTTTATTTTGTTAAAGTGATGAAAATTATATGAAAGTTTGATAATTTGCAAGCCAAAAATACTTGAACCTATACAATAAAGACCGAAAAGATCTAAAATACAGGGTAGGTCCCCAAAACAGAATTGGAACAAGGAAGTGGATAAGTGCGACTTAAGTGTACGATTTGATCATTTTTTGAATCATGTGAAGTGGAAGGAAATACGACATACTCTCTTCAAATCGTCTTGCAACCTATGTAACCGATTTTCGAAGTTTAATTGGATTTCATGATCCACCGCATCATTATATTTACTTAGGGAGTACACAGTAATACCAATAAGAAAGGTTGCAATCCATAAAATCGCGAGCAACCGACGCAGCAAATAAACGTACAAGCATCGCATACCGTCCTCAACTCTGCATCCATACTCCATGTGGCCAGTTAAAAACATGCAGGGCTCACAGAAACCATCGATATCGCTCCACCTCTTATCACTTCAGCCAACCACAAAGTGACGCCTAGCTTGTGATAAGTCAACCGAGCTGACTGACGTTTGATGCGACTTCTGTCAGGATACATAAGTTCAGAATTGCAGCTATGAGTTCATCTTACTAAACTGCAATTTTTTCACCTACCCCACTTACCACAGTGTCGTCGTGCAGGAGTGTCGAAGGTTGAAGCAGATGTAACTGTATCAGAGATCCAAGAAAGCACTGCATTTAGTGCAGTTGGCGCGGAAGGGATAGTTGTTAGAAAGGCAGGACAGAATTAAAGAGCCACATCTTTTGCTGGTAGAATCGATCATTTCCAACAGCTGCTGATCATCCATTCATCTGCATGTTATCATCATGTTCATTGTGGTATCAAATCATTTGGACATGCACTGAACAACCTCATCATTATTAGAGTGGTGATTTATCTTCTTGGGTTTGCTTCCACACAAGAATGGATAAGGAATTAGTACTCACACCTATTACTGACCTTGCTAATGATGTTATCAAAGGTTTTTTTTTTTTTTTTGTTGAAGGTTTGCGTTGGTAACTGACTGCATTTTACAGCGAGCACAAGGCTTGTGACTACTCAGTTACATACTTCAGAAAATATTCCTGCTGTTTACTTGTAGATCTTAGCGAATCAACTCAAAAGATCGTGATACACCTGAATAGCTTAAGCAGCCACATACAAATTCCCTCGGAAATAAAAAAACGTGGCTAGGTAATTCCTTGGGCACCTCTTATCTATTCAACTACACTGTGTTTCCAGGATGCTTATAAACTCCCAAGTTTACGATCGTTGTCATTAATTATAGTTTATAATTATCGTATTAATTCTGCGGAGCCGGCCATGACGAGCTCGACTTCTTAATCCTGTGTCACTCTCACAAACTTGTCAAGTCAAAATTGGTTTTAAGAAAAGTAATCAAATCTAGACGTCTTGGTTTCACTGTGGTCTGCTACATACAGTCTAATTTCTTTTTTGTTAGACAATGTATTTCGTCTTTCCCTGGCTTATATTAACTGTTGTGCAGGAAAAATTCCTCAAAATCATACAAAAAAACCTCTTTTATTTCGGTAAGATTCTGTGGTATAATTTGAGCCTTCCATTTTTCAACATCTAACCGGCTAAAGCCAACGCTTAATGTCAATCAAGTATGTATTTTACTGTCGCCTGAACATTTATTAATACCTTTGTAGTTGCAAACGATTTCAATGGAAATAAAGAGAAAAACGAATGCTCAAAAAAACTTCCATATTTTACAGTATGACGACTAAAGGGGATTTGTAAGCAGGAAGGCCTGTCACGGTATAAAAAATTATGTTGAAGAAAAACAATCTATCTCATAACGGCATACTCCATTACACATTGAAAGTAACGAGATGATGTAATAATATAAATGATGATAGATGTAATGAAGGATGAAGTTGAGTTAAATTATATTAGATCTTGCTATCAAACTTTGATAATTAGAAGATCGTTAATGAGCCTTTTTCTTGCATTTTATGTAAGAAATAATAGGCAACCAGAATTATCATAGTCGTTAGTTGATATAAAAAGTCTTTTGTTCTACTAATGTTGCTAAAATGCAGATTTTGTTAGTTACTAGTTTATTTGGCAGTAATGAAGTGGAAGTATTACTTTACTATGTTGCGTATGATGAAATAATAATAATGTCCGAAATGGACACAGAATAAGGAACTGCAATCTGTTAACACGATTTTCTATTAATTGATAAAATTGAATAAAGCGGTCGTTATTGCATTCGTCGAAAAAAGCGACAAAGCAGAATCATCATTCATTTAGGCCATCGCCAAACTTGCTTACTGTCATTAACATCATAATTAAAGGTAGATGGAGGAGAGTGTAATGGAAAAGTGTCCTTGATGTCTTTGCATCTGGGTGACGATAAAATTTATAGGAAAGATAAAGTAGTAAACTATTGAATGGAAGCGATTCGACTGCAAAAAACCACTTTGTGAGATTTGCTGAAGGTGCTCCCAGTGAGCAAAGCAGTAAAATAACCGCTGAATACCTAAAACGGGCAATAAATCTTAAAGAGAACATTTGATTAGTAATTGTAACAACAGAAGGGAGAAGAAAGGAAAGATAATAAAGAGATAATAACTAGATAATATAAATATAATAAATTATACTAAGACTAATAAGTGAATACCACCTGAGTGAAGTGAATCGGCAAAGCCTTTGATTAGCAGCACACATAACCCGATAACCGGCACGAGTATAGTCGGCACGTAGATTCCAACTGAGTGCATTGAAATGAGGAAACTGCCAGCAATATAAAAGAGCGGCCAGCACTAAAGAAGCAGGTTGGATGGATCCTGTGGCGCCAGCATAACCCATTAAAGGTGGCATAGCACCCACAACAGCTCCAACCCAGGTGCACCCAATACTATAACGTTTCATTGGCGTATAAACACCTATAAAAACTTCATACAGTAGCAACCGATGAAATGCATCGTATGTTTTGGAAGACTAAAAACGATCTTTTTCAAATGAAATGACTTTAAGATAAAAGGAATACAGCTAATTATAAATGGAAAAGATAACTGTACCTGCATATAAAAAAGCATTGAGTAGACCAAGTGCTGCTGTTAATGGATTACAACCAGTCCATAATGTTGCCATTCCTGCCACTGCTGTTGACAATGCAAAACCGACGGCATGAAAAGGTGAAAATCTGAATGGATTTTTTTATTCGAAAATCATGAATTATATCAACTTCAATATTTGACAGAGTCAGTTTCTCATTGTATGCTTTAGTAAGCGAGGAACTCTGAAAAGAAGGCAAACCATTTGTAGCTAATGATGCAACTGTAATGCGTGGTATTTCCAAACAAAGAAAAGTTGCTCATATACCACTGCCAGATTTACAGCTTATATCCAAAAAACATACCAAAGATTGTTCCGAGCAATGCAACATAATCCACCTCTCTCTACCTAACTTGCCATCAATACCATAATAATCAACCTGTGCACGACAAGCAGTCGACTTTGCGTTCTTCTCATCTGAGCATCATAAGGTGTCTCCAGCAAATGATTGAAAGTATTTGCAGATGCGCTTAACAGTGCGGTACCAATAGTGCATGCCATTAATGGGCTTAGAGATAAATCAACTGGGGCCATGATAAAACCACTGACAGTTGTTGTAGTTACCATCGCTGTGAGTCTTGCTTTGGAAAGCTGCAAAAATTTATGATGACTGAAAGTGAGCTAAAGTGAAGCAGTACTTATACAAGGGAGAGGTATACTATTTTCAAGGGAAGATATTAAACAGGTGAAGCTATCAAAAAAATATTAACTTGTGCCGTGATAATTTACTAGAAATATTGCTAATAACGATCACTGCTAATAAACACCTAATCACAGTACCGCATTGTGACTGAAGTTATCTTGGATGCACAGTTGGTGCCAAGAAAAGTAAATAATGATGCACGACACGATGATGCAGATCAGGCAGACCTGTAAGTACGACTTCAGCAGACCATTTTGTTGTATAACATACCAGCCATCTTCCGGTGTCGGTCTGATAACTAGTTTTAGCCTTCGTTCAGAACTCTTTGGCTCTTCGGCCCTGGCAAACCTCAAAGGAATAATTTTCTCTGTCCCCGTGCATATCTTTGGTAGAGCTGCGGTGCCGCGCTTCCAACTAACAATTGGCATATACGAAACGCAAAGACGACAAACGAGGTAACCTGGCAGCAGCATGAGCTGAAAAATTTGGCAAAGACATTGGTCCATTTCCTCACTAATTCACAGAGAAAGCGGAAACGCTCATTACATTCACATCATGTCCATTTATGAGATGCTACACTTCTCCTGCAATCTTTTTTTAAAGGAAAGTTGATCCCCTTTCTTGTCGAAAGGATGAAATTACGCCCAAAAATGCTCCTATGATTTTTGCTGACTTTGATTCTATGGCTAGTCCTGCTCATGTTGATCCATAGTGATATTTTTTGTTTGCCTTTATTTTTCAAAAATGGACCAGTAGAGTAGCTTAGGCAATACAAATGTAATGTCCCATCAACAAAACATTTGACAGTAGGTCACTTCTCCGCCCACAACAATTGTACTCTTGCGTCGAACTTTTACGATATTCACATTTTCACACATTTTCTTATTGGAAACACCATACCTTCAAAAATTTGTCCAAAATAGTGGAACTTACAGTTGTCTCCTTAAGCAGCTGGAGCGCCTTCCATCCCTGATGAAATAACAAGAATGAAAAGTGAGAAGTTAATGCTGCTCATATATTCATTTCATTCCCCTTTCTTTCCCCCGCTCTCCTCCTCACTCTCTACTCCAAACAATTCTAAGTAATAACTACCGCAAATTAATAACTAATTTGATCATCCGTCACCTATCTCCTTATATCATTTTTATATGAATGATATGCCAATATAGAAATATCTATAACGAAGAGAACTGAAGATTTTGTTCACACTACGTTGAATTTAACTCGAAAGTCTCATTTCATGGAGATTTTAGTCTATCCCATCTCTGAGTAAACCAACTGTCCTGTCATCATCTATCCCAGAAAAATAAGCCCAGCCATCAAGAAGGCTCTCACTCCCTGCTCGCATTTTCATTTCGTATCCAAGAAATTAAGTATAAATGAAGCTTCACAGTATTTAACACTATTGTTAACCTACGGCTGGACGCTGTTCGTTTGTTAACTGCTGATTGCGTGGTGCAGTTGTTTTAATTGCTCTAAGTTTTTCATTGCTACACTAATTTGCAATAGTGTAGACATTTTACTTTACAGACATTTCCGTATTTTATATTTACTTAATTGGTTTTATTTATCATGTACTCCAATTTCAGAGAACGAAGCAATGGCTACGGCTATTAAAACTCGTGATGTTATTTGTCTCAAAGGATCTGCCCAACTTATTCAGGAATTTTTTCGTAAGCTTATGGTGTTTTGCATCTTCGCAGTCTAAAAGTTTATTTATCTTGAAGTTGGGTGACTTATCCATGCACATCACATCTTCCTCTTTTTTTTGTTTTAGTTGTAGTTGCTGTAACTGATTGGCATTTTGAGAACTTTAAGAAACGACAAAAGGCCAAAATAATCCCCAGACTTATTTACTTCATTTCTTTCCTGAAATCTGTAGAACTGTAATTTTTCCTACTAAGAATTTACTTGCAGCAATTAAAACGTTGTTCGGCTTAGATGTGCTCTCCTCCGTGCTTCATCATTGAAATTAAAAATCTTGCTTAGGTCCACTAGTTCACGTCAGTCTTTCAGCATATTTCGTGTTAACACAGCTTCTGAAAACGGAATTTCATTTTAAATTCCATTTCCCAAGCCTTAACTTACTACCAATACTAGTACCAATTTAACCATATTTCTGTTTTTAAGTGAAATGATTTTATAGATTTCGGTCTTAATAGTATCCTTTACTTGAGAGGTTTATATCCCGCAGATTCTTTCAAACGGGAAAAGAAATATGGACTCACCATGCTCGTTACTAATAATCCGGCCTTGCAGCAGTATTTGACGCCACTCCTTGAACAAGTCAAATGTAGGTTCTTTTCTTTTCTTTCTAAGTTTTATTATCAGTATAATTATGGTTAGCTAAATCGAATTTCCATTCTCCTTCATTTTATTTTAAGTGTATTCTCGGTACTGCTTTTTAAAAAAGAGAAATTGATATTTGGATATCTAGATTTTGTACTTAGCTGAGATATTTGTATTTCCTGCATTACTAATCTGCTCCCTCTTTCTTGTCTCATTTACTATAAGTTCATTAACTTCGATTAACTTTTTGATTTCTACATATCTGTTTTGCAATTAATTTTTTTGTAAACTTCACTTATATTCGTGGATATTGTCAGACAGCGGTTTATGTTCATCTTTGGTACTTGGGGTTGGGATATTATTTGCTTCTACCGAATTTTCTTTGAGTGAATAAACGACTTTGAATACGAGATAAAGCGGTTAGGGTTACTGTGAGCGAACTGCTTAAATTTCACTGGATAAGGAATACTCTAAACTTCATTTACATTGATTTTCCAGATTATGCTAACTGATATTCACGGGAAGGTGTTGAAGTCTCAATTCTAATATGAATCACAGGCACCGAGTCCATTATTGAACTATATCACGACTGGTGACTGTGGTTGGGGTAGTTTTGGTTGTGAGTTTGCTGCTAGCAGAATTAAATATTTTAAATTCGCCGTTCTCCTACTGAAATGCTTTTTTTTTTTTTTTTTTTTTTTTTTAGACTGGTTGGAAAACAAGAAGTTAAGGAAACTGGTTGTTGTTATTTCAAATATACAGACTAAAGACATACTGGAGCGATGGCAATTTGACATTGAAACAGATGCAGTTATTCAGCAAGACAGGTATTTTGGTATTATTGTTGTTTTTTTCGATAAAAGGAGATTTCTAAAAAAAAAAAAAATCAGATAGTCTGGTTTTATGGCAACATTCCTTGACTTTCATTCTTCACAAGTTTGGTGGAGGTGTCATTAATTATGCAGACATAATGACACTGGAGGATATAGTGTTAGAAATGGCTTAAGTCAAAAACCCAGTTTGTTACTGAAGGGGAAGCAGAAAAAATGGACCTAAAAATTTCCTGTTTTAGTGAAAACTCGACGAAACAAAAGGATGAAAAGAAGATCAAACAAGAAATAGCTGATGTCATCAGGTAATAATAAAGTTAGGTTTTGATTAGCTCTAAACTTCAAAACACAGTTTTATCTATCATTCTTCCGAAATATTTCAAAAGTTTGCTCGTGATATATTTCAGTTGCATTTCCAGGCAAATAACAGCTTCGGTAACGTTTCTACCGTTGCTTGAAGCACCGTGTTCGTTTGACGTGCTAATTTATACAGGTAAAGAGACGGATACACCGGAGGATTGGACAGAAAGTAATGCATGCATAATTAATGACGCTGAGCAAGTACAACTCCGTTCTTTTTCAACGGCTGTACATTCAGTGCATACGCAAGTGTCTTACAAACCCTGCTTGTGATGTAATTATTTTCATCTTTCACTTCATTTATGAATGCATGGAACTACTGTAAGAACCATGGAACCAGTTCTGTAATACTGAGATGATCGAAAATTTTTGTTGGTTGGGGAATTCACCGTTATTGTAATAGTATTGAGCAAAAATGTTGTGGGCAAGCTACCTGCGGGAAGAAAGCATCGTATTTTCTCTTATTCTTCCTCATCTGCTTACACTTATTTCTACCAGTTTTTAGGGATGAACTAAATACAAGTTTCATATGCAATTCTGCATTTCACTGTAATTGATTCATTACACTTCTTGTATTTTTTGGGGTTTATTTGAGTTATTTGTCTAAAGCATTACTATATTAGAAATGAAGACAATAATGTCATGTAGATGTTATATGACTTAATATTTAGCATTTAGTAAAACGTGATAGTTTGGAATGTTCTAATGTGTACCAGGAGTTTGAGTGGTCCCATTTTTATGTTGTCAAGGTATGGGATTTATGAAAGGATCTGTTAAAATTGTTACTTTCATAAAAGTCAGATTCAAAGCGCTGATGAAGGACTTTAAATTTTAAATTGTTATGGTTGAGTATGGCGTAATTGTACTTTCATGTGATTGTTACACAGGATTAATTATATTGATACGGCCCCACTCTTCATCAAGTATTGGTATGGGCCGATATTTTAATCTAGTAAATGTTCCATTTTCCGAGAGTTTTATGCGTCGCTGAATCACGTTAATTTGACTGCCATATTTCAGCTAAATATCATGCTAAAATATAGAGTTTTATGTATGTGTTTGTGTGTAAAGTATTAGAAATATAGGAATATACACACTGCAGCATACTTTGTAAACGGTAGTTACAATGAGTTCATGATTTTTGCATACCACGCGTTTTTGTAGCCATGCTTTTCATTACATAAATATGATTTCCAACTATCATCTGTAATAAAAAGATTGTGCGAACCTTTCACAATGTATTGAACAGATGAGGAACTTTGTATTGCCTTGTTACGGTACATCGCTAACTGCAGTTATTTTAAAATTGTCAGCAAGCCGTGTTGATATTAAATGAGGTCACGGGGAGCTTTCAAAAAATGTGTAAGTTAGATGTGTGTAGATATGGTGCAGGAATCATTTTATGCAATTCTTCGTTGGCATTATCGCTTTAAAAAACTGCGTTTGATTATCAAACTCACCAGTATTAACTACTGTTTTGTATCAACAGATTTGTTTGCTTTTTCAGAATGAACAACGTAATAAATCGCATCAAATCTGGCTTCAATTCAGCTGAATATGGCTTGCCTGCTGATTTTTTACTAACAAAGCTAACACAAATGAAAGGTTGTGGATGTAAAGTTCCGAGAGCGGTAAGTTCTCGATGCCTTGTTTTGATATCAGTCGCACTTCGTCTTATGTGGGGAAGTATCCCTATAATAGGTCGTAGTGACATAATGACGTGGAGTAGTGAACACAACTTAGATGAACAAAGACGGAAGAATTTGTGCATTTCGCAGTAATTATAAAAGTTTTCAAGTTCTAACAGGTGGAATTTTTGGGATGATTAGCAACAAAACATTTTGAATCGAAATTGTCTTTGATGTTTGTTTTTCATCATTGTTCTATTAGGCCCCAAAACAAAAGACTTGTGCAGATTTCTCGTCAGTCATTTTACTAGAGAACTGACTTTTTTTTTTTCCTTTCAGGTTTTGTTGGAACTTTTGAAAGACTTGAAAACGGATGGCAAAAGCGATGAGAGAGATTAGTTTTAACATTGGTGTTTGATGTCCACTGTGCACCGTTTAATTCAGTTGACATGATGTTGACTGTTTATAGGTATCGGATTGGATAGCTGTGTGATTCCTTTGCGGCACCGAGGCTTGTTTCTCGTACAGACAACAGACTTTTTCTATCCTCTTGTTGATGATCCGTATCTTATGGTATGCCGTTTTTTTTTTTTTTTTTTTTTTTTTTTTTTTTTTTTTTTTTTTTTGCTGCTAAATATTGGAGCGGAAATGCATTCTAGGGCAGGATCACTTGTGCAAATGTTTTGAGTGATTTGTATGCCATGGGAGTGGTTGACTGTGACAATATGTTGATTTTACTCGGCATACCCAAGGATATCAGTGACAAAGAACGGGATGTTGTCGCTACCAATTTCTTCGATGGTTTCAAGGTTTTTCGATTACAGCACAGAATGTTAACCTTCATGGAACCTTTAGAAGGCTGAAGTACAGAAAAAAAAACTGGTGAGCAGTGTTCAGTTTAAGTTTTCAGGATACTGCAGCAGAAGCTTGTACTGCCATTAGAGGTGGCCAAACAGTGCGTTGTCCTTGGTTGCTGCTTGGTGGAGTAGCTACAAGTGTGTGCAGTGCTAATGAAATGGCTACGGTTGACGGAGCACGACCTGGTGACGTCCTTTTGCTCACCAAAGTAATTGTTTATTTCCACTTTTATTTTGTGTTAAGGTTGAATATTTTAAAATAATGGTGTTTTGCACACCTGGAGTTTTTCTTTTTCTTTCATATCTTTTGGAGTTTCTTAATATGAATTAGTGAATACTGTTAATCGATGACGCTGTCCTATGAAGTGTGGTCTCTGGGTCCATAACCTACCATGCAGTGATATATTTCCTTCCTACATCGTATTACTACTTGACAAGCGCGACTATATATCTCAGATTGAATTAAGTGCCGAAAGTAATGAGCCGTTGAAGTTCTGCACTCTTACTACACGTCTTTTTTAATATGTTATATTTGCTACTTGTTATAACAGCCTGTTAAAGGCCTGGTAAATAGACTTAAAGAACAATTTGTTTACTGGCATGTTTCCAGCCACTTGGTGGCCAGGTGGCAGTAAATGCATATGAATGGCTGAAAAGAGGAAATTCACATGTGCAGGAACTGAGATTAAATAAATCGAGAGTTGTGCGCGCATATCAGCAAGTAGTTGAACAAATGTGTCGATTAAATAGAAATGCTGCACGCATGACTTTAAAATACGGCACCCATGCTTCAACGGATGTAACTGGTTTTGGAATTTTAGGTTTGCTTTACTCTGATTTTTTAATCATCTCTAGCGCGCACAATCTACCTGAAACTAGAAACCTGAAGTTCGCAAACGCCAAAAGATTCGCTTACAGGGCATGCTGACAGTTTGGCGAAAGTGCAGAAAGCTGAAGTGCAATTTATTATTCATACTCTGCCTATAATAGATTACATGGCCGAAATTTCAAAAACGATGGGCAATGGTTTCAATTTATTCAGTGGAACATCTGCAGAGACATCAGGCGGCCTTTTAATTGCCATCGAAAAAGAGCAGGTTGTCATTTCTTTGATGGATTTGTTCTGAAACGTAACTCTGTGCATTAACTTTCAGGCGAAACACTTAAGTACCGAATTGGAACAGCTTGATGGATTCCCAGTATGGCTTGTAGGTGATGTCGTCAGTGGTTCACGTGGTGCCGTTATTGCTGAAGACGTAAAAATCGTCTCTGTAGCCTCAAGAATACACCCTATCTGAACACGTAGTACTTAACGTGCATTCATCTCCAGTCAATATATATTTTATGTCCTTTTAAATCTAAACTACGACATAAATTTTTTTGCGCATTGTTTTGAAATATTTTTGTATGTTGATTCATTACCCTTAACACAGAAGCAGTGAAATTTCATTTCATATAACATTCTAATGGAAAAACATTTAGCTAGACAAAAAACTCTATAAATCTCCTTCGCGTTCAATCTTGAGCAACTCGATATCGAATTTCAAACTGGCATCGGCTAAAAGTAATAAAATTTTAAGTAAACAGTAGCAGATTGTTTATTGCTAACATAATCTACGGAGCTGATGACCGATTAATTAAAAGGCACATTACAATTTCCAAATTTATACTGCTACAAACGAATATGCTTACCCGGAATTTTCGGCGGAGAACCGGAACTGCCATATGCCAGATCAGGTGGGATTGAAAGACGACGTTGTTCGCCCTCGCACATGTTCAATAGTCCTTGGTCCCATCCCTTAAAGCAACTTTTTGGATGAAATAGAGTTGTACTACAGTATTTCCAGATCTATCACAAATGTCATGGGATGTGGAAGATGAAGGAAGCGGGTTTCGAATTACCAAGTTTCCAGTCAACACTCATAGATCTCTAACACCTCATTTTCTGTAATGCTCAAACTTCTCAGATTTCTACTCCAGCACATTCATGCCCCATAGATTTAGTATTCGCATTTCAGATAGCAAGGACATCCATTGAAAATGTCCACACATGCTAATATACGAAACAATAGAATTTTGGAGGATATAACTTGACAATACCTAAGAACAAGTTGGAAAAAACTTTATGATGGAAAGAGGTCATCTGGTGCAAGTGGGAGCTGGTACTTCCAATTGGGATTTCCCAACGAAGCGCCAAAACGATTCATAAAGAGCGTGGTCGTAAAGCACTCACCTTAATAACTTGTCCCATGCCGAGCGTGAATATGAATGGCTTATTGCGAGACCTACTATTGTCGAATTCGGTACCGTCCTCTAACATCCCCTGAATCACTGGATAGACTGCAGCAGAAAGACTTCGTTAAGCATAACATACCCAGAAAACCCCTCACAGAAGCAAACTTACTACGTAGTGCACGTTCAGAGTATCTCCCTTTCTTGATCTTATCTCGCAGTTGTCGACACGCTTCTTGACTCCTATTTGCAAACGGGCTAAATCCTTGTCGTCGCAACAAACCATGACCAAAACTAGTACTAATAGGACAACACTACACTTCAACATTTCATGAACTACAGTCTAATTAGATCACCTTAAAAGATGCAATTGAAATATTTGAATTTCACCAAGAATAAAAATTCATAAGCTGCTTCTGGACCAATAAATGAGTATAACAGTCCAAAGCTAAAGACTTTAAAACTATACAAGTTGGAGAAAGAAAAGCTAGCTCCATACAAATAAAAGCTATAAGTGAAGATGAACAATCGAATGAGAAAAAAAGTGGAATATACAGATCTCTAAGTTTGGTCTAAAGTCGTTCAATATAAAGCAGACAAGGACACTGCAGTATAATTCCTGAACACATAAAAAACAATGCCGTTTATACATCATCATATTGTAGTAAAGAAATGCTAACACAAGAAATAACGGCACCACAGGCACCACAGTTACAGTTCAAAAATATGAAGTCGATAATTCAGTTTCTAAAAGCATTTGACTGGCTTCGAAACAAATTTGCAAAAGCAGTTCAAATCCGCACGACGCAACGCAAGACGATACGTGCACGTGCATTACGTATTCATAGGTTCACTACCAGCTAAATAGAAAGGAAACTTTCCTCTATGATCTTACAAAAGATTTTTGAATATAGAATGGATCCATATACTACGCATAACCAACTGCATTTATAGCGCTTATTTCCCAGACAAACAAAACCGAAAAAAAAAAAAAAAAAAGAAATTGTGATGAGCCATACTGCCACAGATTCCTTATTCACATATTTTTCTCCCCTTCCACCATTCTAGTTGTTCATCTCAACTGCCTTCATAATTTCGAATGCGACTCCTTTTATCTCCCATATTTCAATAGAAAAAAAAAAAGCATATCTATAAGTTCTTTCAGTTTAACAGTAACCAGAAATGGTACAGATGAAGACTTTTAATATAAAGATTAATGTGGAATCCTGAGAGAACCTTATAATGATGAATAATAAATAAGTTTGGATCACGGGTTCTTCACACCAGTAGGTGAATAAAACCGATAGCTAAAAATCTGCTTCTATAAGTTGCACATATAACAATGGATAACACATGAACAAAGATTACGAAGATATACTGTCTATCAGTCGAGACTATAGCTTACTGGTAAACAGATATTAGGAAATTCACATAAATTCATTCACATATTTCTCCATTTCTTGAAAGAGCTTTGGCTCGTTTATTGTATGCCTGCAACTTAATCAATGTGATTTTGAAACCAGTCATGAGTTAGCACTGTCTAACATTTGACCATTAAATACCATTTATATGTTCGAAAAATTACAAAAAATTTACATCTTTATCAGACTCGGGAAGTGACTTCCAGACAATGGCTAATTCCTTGATGATATCTTGCTGTTTTTTACCACTGTCAGCAACACCTTTTACAGCTTTCTCCTTTACAAAAAGCATCCAGCCTGACATTGACGACTGACCATTAATTTCTCGCTTCTACAATTAAACAACTACTGAACTTCTGCACTGTTCCGATAAATTTCAACTTGAATATCGCATGTTTTTCATAAAGAAAACTACGGAAAATCTTGTACTTCTACACGTTTAAAAAAGATATATTTGAACGCACTTTCCTCCTTTCCAAACGTATTTTTCGTTTTAAGCGAGCCTCTTTCAAATTCTTAGCCCGTCTGCGAAGCTCCTCTTTCTCAGTTTCATCCAGTAATTCGAATTTTGACCTTTTTTCTTCGTTTATTCGTAACGCTCCGTCAACATATTTCTGTAACCTACACTGGTTTAAAAAGAGGATATTGTGCATGTGTAACTTCAACTCGGATATAATCTATTTTTTATGCAAAATGGTAGCATTTTCTTTGAGTAAGTAAATTTCACCAAATTAATGTGATAGTGTATCACAAGCAATTAGTGACAAATACCTTCCGTATAATTTTGACCTAACAACAGGTCGTTTCAGAGTAATAACTAGAAAGTGATTAAGAACTTTTGAATGGACACGAGTTCAGAATTAGAAGAAAAATGTAAAACAAACTCTTTTATCAAACTCGTCCAAATCTTTCCATTCCTTGGTAAGGTTACTGAAAACTTCTGTAGGCTGTTCATTTTTCCTTAATGCGAAGTTTTCCTTGATGAATAAACTGAACGGTGTTATTTTACCGAATCCTGGAGGAAGACGCTCAAACTTTCCATGAGATCCTGCAGCTTTTACTGCAGCATACCATCTGTAATATGTTAACATTTACTTTTAATAACTGTTAATCTCCTCCATTCCATCCCACCCAACACGCGTTAGATACCTGATAGCTGAGGTCATTTCAGCCAAAGATATTTGACGTAATCTGCATGTGAACGAAAACATGGAGTCTGGGAATTGTTTACCAGTTTTACAGTTATCGTAGCAGCCCGCCAAGAGCTAAAAGGTTCAAAATCGTTAATAAGTAATACCGCACGAAGTGTAAAGTTTCGGCCACACAGTTTGTCCCGAGAATCTGCAATATCTAGAATATACGGAAACGCACTACATGATACCCTCAAATGATACGAGCTAACTACAGATAACATCAAAAGTGCTAACTAAATTTCTCTGGCAAATATTACTATAGCATGCTACGAACAAAAGTAAAAAATTAGTTTTGACATTCGACTATAACCAGATCGCTATTGCAATATTTGAAAACACCTCTAAATTGAAACCAGTTAATAAAATCTTAAACAAACTCGCTAGTAGAAAAATAGCACAACCTGCAAGTACAACAACTGGCAAGATTTATAAGAATTATTGCGCACTATGTTAATGCCGCATTATTTACTCTTTCAACCGTTGTCATCGCTTATTGCAATTTTATTTCGAGAATGTTATTTTGAATATCTGAAGCAATCGAGATGCGCCAAACAAATAATAGTGCCCAAAGAAATTTCGAAGTTGTAAAAATCGAATTGCAAAAGTGCAACGTGCATTGTGACATTAAACGACACCGACAAATTAAAAAAAGGAAAGAAAAAAGTTGGTTAAGTGATTTCTGGAGAGCTGTCATCCCACAAATGCTGTGAAACCTCCGATTGAACTTACAATACAGCCGAGTAAAGATAAGGAAAAAAGTTCAGAAAATTGTGCAGATTAATGTACGTGTACAGTATATCTACGTCTACAGTTTCATTCATTGCTAAATGCAGTCAAGGGATTTTACTTATAATAAGTAATCGCTTTTCATAAGTGCTGAATAGATGTTATGTATGTTCCGGATTTAATTAAAGTCCACTACAAAATAAAACTCTGCATTAATTGTATTATAAACACTTACTGTTTCATTGAAAATAAACAATAAACAATGTAGTGCCAAACAATATGAAATTCACTAGATACGTCAGTGATAAACTAAGATACTTTGGAAAATTCACATTCGACTATTGTCTAGGACTCCATCAACTGGAATCATGTGAGATTTTAATTTATTTGGTATGGAACTAAAGTACACAGCACTAGAAAACAATCAGTATTCTTTATAAATAAACAGGTCTGATGATCTAAGACCAAAAGTGAGGAAGTCCAACATTCTCATTCTTCTATTCGACAGTCGTCCTAATCCATCCTATACCACAGCCAGCTAATTTATAATTACAACCTTCGCCTCTATAAACCGGAAAGACGGAATTCCAAAAAAAGAACACCGGTGGCGCAAATTAACTAAAATTGACTTTGTGCAACGCTGATAGGGGTCTTAATGAAATGACAATGCAATTGTGGCAATAATCAATACAGTATGTTACAAAAGCAGTTAATCAAATGGAATGATGTTGTGAAAAAGGGAAGAGAAGGTGAGAGATGTATGAAATTATATGTTCGGAAAACGAACATATAATTTCATATATAATAATAAAAATAGGAGAACTAGATTATTACTGGTGTTATTTGCTTTTCATTCACAGAAACTCATACTGTTTCAAAAATTTTAATTCTGAAAGAATTGGTAAAAATAATGATGTGAACAAAAGAGGTCGTTCAACTCAATATCTATAAAGACCTTATACATAAATGATAAAAAAACATCGGAAGTTGATGTATAATGGTGTCTTAATAGCTTACGTAACATCGTAATAAAAGCTGAAAGGAAAGTGTTCCTTTGATGTGAAACTTTCGTAATAGTAATAACCTAGTACAGAAGTGAAACTTATAATATAGTAACTTTGCTAGGAAGTGAACCATTGAATATGGAAATGAAGAAAAATAGAATGTCCAGCTTGTCACTGGAGAAATAAATAGAATGAAATTTTTTCTGCAGGTAAAGGATATGCAAAGCCATGAAGCTTGAAACGAAATGATTTTATATTTAAGTGAATACATTTATACAGAGATCTTAGTAGTATGTATTTTGGAAATATATAAGTCATTAAATATTAATGACCAAAAAAGACTAACTGTCGGAATTTCTGCATAAATATATCGTGCAAAACACTGGTAATACATTTGTGCCGAAAGTTCGTTAGTACATTCTTATTTCGCACTTTAAAAGTCTTCAGTGATACTATTAACTATCAGATATGAACAATGTAGTCTGCTTAAAAAACTCAGTAACTGAATTAAGTAATACAGATTTCATTTATGTGATAAATATGCAGTAAGACCAATAAATATTAGAAGTGAAAAGTTTGGCCAAATAGATAATGGATAGATAATGTGGTTATAAATATGAAAAGGGAAATGAAGTGCAATTTTAGCACAGAATAGCCATTTAAATCGGTGTTATCAAACTATAACTTTCTGATATATATATTTTGCGATACGGACATGATATGAATGAGAGTATGTAAAAGGGAAAAAGTTGGTATAATGGATGTTGTTGTGGTACATGTTGTTGTGAATTATGGATATTGTCAGTTGGCTGAATGTAAATTGATTATGTGGTCGATGATGTGTAAATTATTAGCAAAAATGTTCGATGAAATGTACAGCAGATCAAGTACAATTAATCATTTTTTATCACTGTAACATATTTCACAGGGCGTTTTACGCATTATAGTTTCATACATTGATAAGGATGAAATAATTAAGTTACAGGAAAATCAGTAGTATGTCTTTTCTCAGCTAGATATGTGTTAATACAAAGTACTTATGCTCTGTTATCAAGAAATCTTGAAGACAAGAACAAGGTATCATTGATGAAAGAATTTGACACTAGTTGAAAAGGATATTGTTGAAAAGCACCATCAACAAATTGTGATTGGACAAGCATTTCCCGAAGTGGGCGGTGCGGGAAAGATTGAAAGATGGTGCACCAATAGACTAGTCTTGTCCGGATTGATGGCACTGAACGAGTTGCTTCTGCTTTTCCTTCCTATTGGGACCTACGCTTATATTTCCGAGTCATGGGCAATGCTCACGTCTGATCGACCCACCTCACCAAAATGTGTGGACATACCCAGAAACTTGACGCTTTGTTACGGTATACAAGTAAGTAAGCAGCACAGAAAACCATACCCTTCTCATCCTTCCTTCGCTTCCCTTCTTTTATTAATTTCGTTACTTGGAGCTATACGATCACTATTTATGGTACAAAAGAAAAATGACCCTCCCTCCGTTGGTTCTCCTCTAACACTATCTTACCACACTGTTGGTAATTTAATTGAGAAATTTCAGTACTCAACAATGCGTTTACCAAATTTGTTGGAGCATGAAACAGTGGATGAGGTGATAGAGCAAGCAGCTCCATGGATACCACTGCATCGATTAAACTGTCATCCGGATACACAGGTCGTTATCTATTTAATTCATCTGGAACATTGCAGTTCGGTTCGGTATTCACTGCGGACTACTTTTAATTAACTGTGTTTCAGCTATTCTTATGTTCACTGTTTGCACCTGTTTGTCTGGCAACATTGGACCGCGAAATACTACCATGTCAGTCCTTATGTACTGCTGTCCAACAGGTCTAATTTGTCTTAAATTACTGAATTGAGTAATCCATAAGAAGAATAGGGAGTGGACATTGATGCACTGAAATAATTTGCAGGGATGTGAAAGCAGAATGAGGCAGTACGGTTTTCCATGGCCAGAAATGTTATCCTGCAATAAATATCCGAAGGATAATGACATGTGCATCGGGGCTGTCTCGGAGAAGGCAACAAGTCTGTTTTCACTTGGCTACTTCTAGTGCGCGACACATCTATTGCATGTCCTCAGCAGACCTGTCCATCACTTATTTCAAATGAGATTATGAAAGTGGGTAATGTGTAATGAATAGTTGCCTTTGGGGATTTGTTGGAAGAGCTCAGACTTGGAATTAGGAGTTAGGATCGGGGCTGCTAGTGACAGGGTGGGCAGCAAAGGCAGGCGCAATATTACTAAAGGTGCCGCGTGTCGATGAGCTGTCAGGCGGCATTCTTTCATCGTTCAGCGATTGATATCTCAGCTCGTCATATTTTCAGACCTTAGTGATACGTGTTCATCGTGCAGTCAGGTCAGCACATACGAGAATATACTCGATCATTATTGTCGATCTCAAATAGGTTTCTATTTCACATTCTTCATTTTCAAAAACCTTCTCTTCTTTAGTTTCATTTGATCCTCTTTGTAAGCCTCGTTTTCACTTTTCGCCTATTATATGATTATTTTTCAATTTCTAAATGCAGTTCTATCCTGTTGTGGTGTGCATCTCAAAAGAGTGCCTAGCTTTTTGAAATATGCACTTCTAGCATAATGAAATTGGAACGCTCTAACTAACAAATGAAGGTTTGAGATTTTCACTAAATACAATACATTAAATAATACCAGAATTACTGACTTTATTAAGAGAGCAACTCCAATCATTTGTTAGTAGTTTGAAAAAGAGAAGATATTACAGTAGTGAAAGCACGAATTGGAGGCATCAATAAATCATACGTGAGTGTGCGAAAGGCACGATCGCTGAAGAGATCTGATCGGCGCAGGTTCTTTTGTTTTCAGAAATAATTTCTGCAATTTCTCCACTTAAAAATGTTATCATTTTACCACTTTTAAGACGTTGTTACCATCCATTCCATATTTGCTTTCCAAGCAATGAAGGCCATAGCACTCTTACGAAAAGGATACAACCAAACAATGCGCAGTCCTAGACTGTATTAGAGGAAATGAAAAGAACTGTTTACACTTAAATCAGAAGGTGTAGTGCTTGGGAAGGATCTTTATACAACGGAGGTAATACAGAATCAAAAAAAAATAATTGGAGTTGACTACCAGAATCAAGAAAATGAAATCATGGCAGAAGTAATCAGAATATGTTATCAAGTGGCGTATAAGGCATTTTAAGTAGTAGGGGAATTAGTGATAAAAACTTGTAATGGCAGATTTATTCAAAATCAAAATTGAAAATGTAATAAGAATGAATCGACCGTTCTGAATTCATTTTAAAGTCTTTTTTATACCAAGTAAATAAAATATATACATTTGCTTCTTTTGGCAGTCCTATACAGGGGTGTAGTCTACAGAAAAAATACCATACTTATTCAGTAAATCATTTTTTAGATCGGTAGGCCGAGATACGGTCATTCATTTCTCTGCCAGTCGCGGGTGTCCTTGCCATTTTAGCGGAACAGGAGATCTACGTTTTCTCATCATGGCTGATCAGAATGACAGAGGCGATTTTATTGCAAATCTGATACTGCCCTGGAGAAATACCGACAAGGTTAGCGGTCTCCTAGTGGATGAGTTATGCTTGAGTTAATACAAAAATTCACGACAGCTCAAATGATTATATCATCCGTGTTATGATCAGATTATCGATGCTGTAAATCTCGAAAAGTAAAATACCTTAGAATATTAATATCGATAGTATGATATTCCGAAATAATTCACTTATTCATTTTTAGCCCTTCAAGAGAGCCATTCGAAGCTTCCGTAAGTTGAACTGCCAATCCCTTGGAAGGGAAATAAGAGAAAGTGCCTACCGCCGAAGCCTTCACCGTAAAGGCTATTGAATATTATTATATTGCTTTTGTGCACCTTATGTCCACGAGCTTCTTATTATCCACGAAATCAACCTATTCAGAAATTTTTTTCCTTTTTTGTTTGCTCGTACTTATTTTCGTCATGCATCTAGGTAAAAAAAGCATTCTTATATCGCGTTTTACTGCAACACTGCAAAAATTTGGCACTCCTATTAGTTCATTGCTTCATAACTATCTTACTGAGACATGACACTGTATAGTGAAATAGTCTATATAGGCTTCATATACTTCCATTTCCTAATTAATAAGTGCAGCTGTGCATGCGATCTGCAAGTTATGTTCGTATCATTGTATAGATATATGTTTCCGTGAGCAATTTAAAAAAAAATATTTGACTTGGTCTACAACAAACTTTGATATTTATTTGGAAACGATTCAAAATGAAGAAAACAGAAACATATGAAACGAGGAACACATCCCAAATTAATTTTAATGACGAAGAGCTTCTTTATAAAAGCACCCTTTAAAATTATAATTGCAGCATAAATAAACAAACTATAATATTCCAGAAATGTAAAATAATCTTATTATGATAGTAAAAAACTACAAAAATACCCGTGTGTATATATCATGGAGTAGTCAATCAATTAATTTGTAAACGGCGAGAACTTCCATTGAGATAAAACCGTATCTGATGAATCTTTTAAATACTTCAAACCTTTAGTAAGAAAACATAAACACAAACCGACGACTTATTTATTTCTAGTATCGAGTTTACTGTACTATCATAAAGATGTGGTGAGATATATGCTTAGGAAGTTTATGCTGTTATGGAAAAGATAGTCTTTTTTCAAGAGATATTGTGTGAGAAGAGCAAAGCTGCTTCTTTGATTCGATTATTTCAGCACAATGCACTGAAACATCAGTATAATTAAAATTTGTAAGAAAAAGTCACCGGACTGACAAAATAACAACTGAACGTTCGTTATTCTCTGTGAATTTCATGTAATCCTTCAGCTCTGGAACCCCTTCACTTCCGCAGTTCATACATGAGATGAATAGGAAGAACGGCGGAAACCGTTCAAGAAACGCTCGTTAATCCGTTTCATCAGTTCCAATTTGAACAGTGCTGGCCGGTTAAGATTTCACGGTTGGTCGTTGATGCATGCGAAAGAAGCGATCGTGGTGACATGTGCATTTGTTATTTGTGTTTGGTTGCACGGTACGATGTGCTTGGTACATGGGAAGACAGGTCAAAATGTCTTTTTCTGTCTTTTTGCTTACTGGTACATTTTGAGATTTTAGCAAAGGCTGTATGTTATGGGATTGGCATAAAAATTTTTTGATAATAGTACAGGAATTTCGTCAAAAAAGTCCGAGAAGCTACTGCAGTGTTGCTGTTGTGTTGTACTGAGATATACAACACTGTTAATGAAGTTCAGGATATCAGTAATGTCATCGAACGATGAGCACACTATCACCAGGCATACCAGTTCATCGGCCGACTGCAACGGTGCGGAAGACTTCACAATATCAATTTCATCAGTAACGGGACACAGATGGGAACAGAGTGTAACATTGTGCGAGACAGTTGAAAGTTTAAAGGTAACTAGTCCTTCTGAATATTTTGAAGCTACCGCAGTTTGAATCAGCTCTGAAATCTGTTAACTGAAGTCCATGTGAGATTGTGGAGCCTGTTTGGGACATAACAGTTTTGTTAACGACTTTGTTTTGTGTAAAGTAGAGGTGCTGGTTATCCTGATGTTTGTAAATTATAGAATGAAGCCATGGCTGATCTCCTTACCTCATACAACTTTTATAATATTTTCTTCAACATACAACATTTGTCTGATAAAATGTATATCATCTTGCAGGCTGTTTAAGCTTCATATATATAATTCTTTCTCAATCATTGTTTGTTGCCCATTTGTTCCCCATGTTACACACAAAATGATATTCATAAAACTTTATCGCTCTCATACGTATTTTCAACATAACTGTCTTAATTGGTTATAACTATGTTAGCCTCAGAGCTTGCGGATTTTAGATGAAAATCTGGTATCGCACAGGCCTCTTCCCATATCATCAAGGTCTAATTTTTGACGATTTATCGTTATCGGAATTGTGTGGACAAACATTGCTTTATGACCTTGGCATCCGAAAAAACTCGCTAGTGCGTCTAGTAATCATCCCACGATCGGGACCTTTGGCAGTAACAGTTCCTGAAAAACATGCAGTAGTACCATGTTCTGTACAATCTGAACAGTTAGTTTTCTGTTTCTCAGTGTTTTTTCATATTACACTTATAACATAATGAGCTTTTATATAATTTGTGGGCTACGTAAAACCTTACCAGCAGTGTGCTTAAGCACTTTCAAAAATTTGAAATTCTAGGTCCTTATGGTTGCAGGAATAAGGGAGATTGTTGGGAAGGATTACGTTTCTTTGATGAACAGAATTTAGATGAAAATCGTCAAACTCTATTCCGAATGTGTGAGTTGCGACGTCAGATAAAACAAAATGCTTCAGCGAAATCGATTGTAAGTGCTAGCATAAGTTTCACGTTAGTAATAAAGTGGACAATTAATTTCCAGTGGCCAATTAAGTATTACATAGGTTAAAAACGCGAGATTTCTGACCTCTAATGAATTTAATGAAAGAAAAGCGCGGCTACTACTTACATTTGCAAATCAGATTCTAGGAGAAGCATGTCCTTTCTGCTCCAGAAGATACGAGTGCTAAAGAAAGTTCTGCTGGTGACACAGAATGTGATGACGACAAAAGCTATTCTTGCAATGGTATCAACTCTTCTGCGAAGGTTTTATTTGAAAAAAAAAATGTCCATTTAATGAAATAGGACTATGTGTCATCTGTAATTAGAAAAAATTTGTAGTATTAACGTAAAAAATACTTCAGGTTTGCGAAACTTCGACATTGTCCGGAGCAAAGTATGGAGATAGAAGAACTCGTCAGAATCCTAGCAAAGGTTCTATTTTCAAACGTTTTAAGGGATCCATAGTAGTCTGCTTCTTCAGTTTTCTTTTATTTAGAAGAGACGTTAAAACTTTGCCATAGTGAATCAGTTAGTAGTTCTGCTCGTGATCAGCTATTTATTATGATGCAACCGCGTTCCATTTCGCCTATAGCAGACTTGAATACTCATTCTGAGGATGGATCCGAATTCTCTTCTGGTGTGGTAGTCAGTGATCTCAGCAACGAATTCAAAAGGTATTTTTTATACTATATTGTATACTTATTCCTTGCTGAACTGAATGCATAAGAAATTGAAGTTAACTGCTGTCACTCTATTTTAACCTTCCTCCAGCGTCCCTCTCTCCTTACATTTCAGTTCAAAGACGTGGTCATCAGCAGTTCCATTCAGAAGAATCTAATTCTTCAACCAGGCGTTTCTAGATTACGTGTACGACGTAAACATCATGGAGTGAGTAATGGATCCGCAGCTATTCAAAGGACTCGAGCCAGAAGCAAGCCAAAAATACCGCTTACAGCTTTTTCTCATCACCACCGAGTATGGTATTCCTTCTTCTCTTTTATCAGTATTTTCTTCACTTTGTTTACATTAAGAGAAAAATCCACTTAAAGGGCTCAGATGTGACTTCAAGCGATGATGAGCTTCCACGTCGACATATAACTGAAGCAAACTTTTCATGTTCTTCATTCCGTCGTCCTTCAGCTGTTTCACGAGCGCAGAAAGTTCTTATTGGGTACCAGTCGCAACAGCGTTGCAGTGCATGCGCTGTCAAATTGAACAACATTTCAGCTGCATTTCAGTGCAGGTAAGTTATACTCGAACAATATTGTTCTGTTTTATTAATATTACATCTGTTTCTACTATGTTTTCAGGTGCGGTAAAACTTTGTGCGCTCGACATCGACCTGCTGGAATGCATACTTGCACTCGCGTTCGTAAACTACAGGATGTCAGCGACTAAAAGCTTAAGTTTAGGTTGTATAAAAATGTTCATATGTTATTTTCAATAATTCCTGATTTCAGAATCATCTAAGGAAAGTAATTTCATTTCTTTTTCAGTTTTATGAGGTCACTGTGAGGTCGATGCAACCTATTCATTCCACTAATTATTATTGAACTTCCCGCAGAAGTGGAGCAAATATTAACAACTTTGTTCCTTAGATCTATTTTGTATAAGTTTTTGAAATTAGATTAATCAATAATATTTGCAGGTTGGCAACTTAGAGTACCAGTCCAATACATGTCTCACTCATTATTCCACTGCATATTTTTAAGAGTTACGAAGAGACCGCAAGTTGCCATTGCTTTTCAACAACATGTGTAAAAGCACGTGTTAGTTAAGTTGGTCAATTTATGAGGAAACATGCGATGTCCCTGCAGTGTAAAACAAACCTTAAGTTTGGAGTACGCTCTATAATTCTTGATTGATAGTGTCTTTTTGAGTTTGTCAGCTAGCACTGATTTGCTCTAATATATGGTTCTTGGGAGCACGAACTTTGAATCGGGAACCACTTATTTTCAAGTTATTTGGATAACAGAAAACAATTGTGGCTTTTATGCTTGAATAAAATTCCGATGATGTTTAAAAGCTACATTCGCCTCTGTCATCTAAGCACTATGATTCTTGTTTCATCCAGTTTTTATATTTCTTGAATAAATAAAGTTTGGGAAATTATTTTCAGTGCAATATGCTAGTAATTTCCAGTATTGGATTACGACGCTGTTTACAGATTACTCAAGACGCATATAATTTCCTACATAATCAGTGGTGGTAGGGATTTCAGGGTACCTCCACAATGTTTTAGATAGGCCAGAATGTACAACTCACTTTCTGTTCCCTCCGAGATCTCCAAATTAGGCAAAATACAACTTACTACTGGTTTTGTATGAGTAAGTTTACTGCGCTCTTGTAATGTTGATGTGAGATTGTGTAAAGATTAAGAATGTCGGTAGCATTCATTGCCGTTTCTGTAATTGAATTAGAATGTATGATAGTTGTACGGGCATTTCTTCGTATATTAAGGTACTTGTCAAACTAGAGACTACTTTCTGGAGTCGTATAGAAGCTCAGTTTTGCAATGTTACCTTAAGGAGCTTTTTATGAATCAAAAATCACTTGAAGAGATCGTTCAATTTTCGAGGCAAGATCTCTGCTGTGCTACCGACATTCCACGAGTAATATTACATGTGGAATGTGGCGAACAGGTTTTTATTCGTCACTTTAGCCATCACTGAGGAAGAGAGCAGTTAAAATCTATGCATCTAATTTTTATCTCATTTGTTTCAATGGGAAAGATCATTCTCAAGCAATCAGCTGACTTTTAACTTTTTTCTCATAGTAAGGAAAAGCACGGCTTGTCAGTCCACTCATATAGTGACAAGTCGCCAGGTAACTAGGTGAGCCAGCGAGCGGAATTTTGAACACAAAATATGCCCAGATTTGAGTGAGTGGAAGTAATCAATCTCAATTTTTCTTTCCACACAAAAAAGCACGTGGAAACAAAACCATCTTAGGTACTCGGAAGTGTATTTTTCTCCACTCACTGTATGCATTACAGTGGTGTCAGATCTTACCTATATCAAACCGTGATTTTCAGAATGACAGCTGAATCACTTCTATAAGTGGCTATTCTGCACTGGAAAGTTTAAAAGAACTACCATCTAACTAGCATTTCTATGTATATTCAGAATTAAAAAAATTTACATCGATCGAATGGAAAAACCACAACAGACAAGCCAATACGACTTAATGTTGACTCGGAGGTTAAAGAGTAAGACATTAAGAGTACAAAGAACTGCATGTCTCACACAGCATTGCTACAAAAGTCAATTAATAGATTAGTTAATATCAAGTCTTACAGCCAAGTGAAAAATAAAAGTTATGTTATACTTGCACATCTCTTTCCTAGCCTTTTAAGAGACAAATCGAAATTCATTTTCTCTATTCAAATAAAGTGCTAAACTACCCCACTACATATGGTGGATTCTCACGTTCTCGATGACGTTTTGTATCTCTGGCCATTTTCTGTGTATGCTTTTGAATGGAGTGGAAAATGGAGCCCAATGAAGTCTACGTTTACGGCAATTACTGGAAGGATGTTTATTGGCATACGAAGCGTAGACTGCAATGTGCACCCTTCTCGATTTCGACCAAGACAATGTTTGCTCCATTATCTTTCTGGAGACCACAATAAAGGGTCTCCTTCTGCGAAACGAAATTCGACAGGATGTGGAATAGTGCAGAGAATACCCGTAGGATGATGCCTCTCCCCAGTGAGGAGAATACTTCTCTCATCAATGTCTCCGACTAAATTCTTCATCCTTTCATATTCAAAATTCAAATCAATTTGGTTAGGACAGTTAGCGATGGGGAGACAGGCCTGCACCCATAATTCTACCGAATCGATCCAGTCTCACCGCAAACAGCAGCACCACCACTCTCACCCAAGCAAAGAGACACATGTCGCTTTTCTATCCGTCGACACACCTCCCACTTCCTTTACTCTCTGTTCATGAGGCGGGGTAATTATTGTCGGATCAGGAGGGGTGTTGAGGGTTGGCGGATGCGGCATTCGGGCTGCTTGTTGTTCCCGCACGAGACCCAGTTCAAGACTGTTCCCAACATATACTACTAATGCTGTTTTTCGCTCTCTCTGTGTGTGTTCCTCTTCCTCTCTTACGAGACACATTGTTCGACTTGGCTTATCCGAAATTCGAAAGACTAAGGCCCCGCAGTAGTGCATATATTCAACGTTACCACCCATTCTTTTTTATCAAAATGTTCATTAAACAGTGCACACTTTAGTAGAACTCAACCTTCCTTATCCATTTCCACTTTTTAAATATTCTCCTTTTCCTTCTTTTTCATTTATATCTTAATCATCTACCGGTTGGTTATCTTCTGTTGGCAAGAAGAGATTAGCAGGTGGTTGCGAACTTATTTAGTGATTAACGATGTTCCTTTTAAGTGGTTGGTACATGGTGACGAAGCGTTCTGCACGTGGACACATCACTGGATCTACCACCGATAAGAAGTTGGATTATCCGAGTTTTTGGTTTTTCCTACTTAATATTTCATAACTGGTTAGTAGCAGTGGATCAAGTAGTATTTCCGGTAACTACATAGCAGTGACTTTAACAGTCTATTGTGAGGTTATACAGTTATTATTTCAAGACTTGAATATAAATGTGCATACTGCTACCACGTAGGTTCATTTCATGAAAGATTGCAAGGAGCTAAGGAACATTTGGTATTTATTGGACCGTATAGTAGTTCATTTCTTGAAGCGCTTTATACTTTATTATTCAACAATGCAATACTCATCGATACATGAGACATTCCATTGTTGACGGCGAATCTAGAAACATATTGTCAGATCAGTAAATTCAAAAGCTGTGTAGTCTATATCGTTATTTTATTTCTATATCGTTATTTTTCCCTTGGTTTCTCCCACTTCTGTTTTTGCTATCAACAGATGTGATATGTGGTTGGTGATTTATTTATTTCTTCTGGCTTACGAAGATAAATTCACTATCACATTACAAATGGTTCCAGAGTAATGTCGTTTCTCTTTTTCCTTTTTTCGTGATTTCAAATGAATACAAATTAACAACAAAAAAATAGTACAAATGGATCATTTTTTTCCATGTCGCTGATTCTTATATATAAATAACTCAAGAGCCAATGAGATATGAGTGCCTCCCTTTAAAGATTAAAGACGGGATTGGTAGTCGTCGTCTACCTGCAGAGGTACATAAGTAATGGACGGTTACGGGAATATTTGTTGTTGCGGGAAGTATTTAACAATGAATCAAGCAGCCTATTTCTTTTTACTTGTCATAGTGATGGCGAACATTTGTTAAACTTCATTATAGAACCTTCGTTATTCCTCCACTTGTTACACCCGTCGTTATTTATGCAGTGTTAGTGACCATGAAGTATTTCCGGTTAGGAATAAGTATGCCTGAATGAACGCGACATTGATGTAAGTAAAGCGGTTTTATGGAATGACGAGTTACTGGGCACGACCACATCATTTCTTCTAAGATTATCAGAAGGCATCCAAGGTATATGAGCTTGTTAAGGTAATGAGAATGAGTAGTGCCTTGAATTTTAAGTTGTATTGGACAGCCAAGATAACTTAAAGTTAGTTACTTTCCAAATGTAATTCGAAGAATGTTAACAATGTTGCTTAAAAAGTCACCTAGCACTCTGTCACATGTTATTGTGTGTTGTTAACATGATATTCTTCCACTCTCTCTCTTTCTGTTTTAGTGCAAAATTATTTTTTCCATTACGTAAGTTAAAAAATATTACACCTAAGGAAGTAGTCAGTAATTTGGTTCATGCTGTCCTCTAATTATGTACCTCTTTTAAAAGAAAGTTTTGGATGTAAGTCCTCAATTTAGCAATCCATTTTCGGATTAAGTGCCCACTATTACTATTACGGTTATAGCTACCAATTTGTACACAATATACCTCATTCATTTTACATATGACTATTGTCTTGATGTAGAGATGTGAATAAGTGACAGATACGAATGTACTTTAGACAGTGCTCGTGAAGCACGAATTAGCGAAGTTCTGTTCCTTATATCGCCAATCGTATATTGTGTAGTAATTATAACACTGATTTAAAAAGTGCACAATTTATCCTTTCACTGAACACTTTCTCTGGATGGTACTTTCATTTAAAAAAAAAAAAGAAGTTGGAATTTACTAAGTTATTATAATATGAGGAAAATCGAGGCAAATAGTCTTAAGTTCGATGTCCTGTCATTAGATGGCACGTGCTAGTACTGTATTTTGGGGGGTATCGGTGGTCTTGTCTTCCGTTACAGTTCGCTGTGTCGATAGCAAAAATCGTCCGTTTAGATCCAGAACCATGTTTTGTTACGAAGCTGTTGCTATTCTTCATAGCTCAATAAAATGCAACAGATTTTGTGGATGTATGTTGCAAACTCTATCATTGAAATCTGCCGAAAAGAATGTGTTGAAAAATAATAAAAGTCAGCTATATGGAAATATAGAAAAAATTTCAGTCGAACCTCATTACTAATTCGTCTTTAAATGTTACTTACTAAAACTCATTGGATCACGGAATGAATTCTTATATTCTTTGGGATAATTTGCTATGGTCATACATGGAAATGGTAAGATATCGTATGGAATGTTTTCTGCTCAGCTATTTAATTAGCTTCTGTCCTTTGTTTGGTAGAGTGAGATTTAAGTTAGCTGTTTAATTTGATTTAATCATACGTATATGATTGATTTGTCACTGTTGCATTCTGTTTTGTTCAGTTTCTGCTGCTGAGTGATTTAGCATTCGGTACGGTTGCATATCATGTCGATTGATTGTTTTACTATTTTCTCCTAATATCATCGTGTTGGCCAGTGCGAGTGATTTTCCTGTATCCTACGAAACGAGTTGTACTCAGTACTTGTAGTCTCATTGGTTATGTGTAATTTGGTTATTTATGTGTTTCCAATGTTTTATGACAAGTACAGGTGGTTATCATCTATAATTAGTCCTTTATCTCTGTGTGGCAAATATATATTTGTTCATATTTTAAACGGAAGAGAGAAAATATGAGCATGCGAAAGTTTTGCAGGCGGGTAACTAATAAAACCCAATTACTGATGATCAATCCTGCAGTTGAGGCAGGTGGCTGGCCTGCAGAAGTGCCAAAATCACAGCAGCAACAAGTTTCTTCTGACAATAGTCAGCACTCCAATAAGGTAGTGGTTTTTACACCTTCATTGATTAATGTTCTACTGTGAAACAAAATCAAATAAGATATTTTATAGGGCGAGAGCAGTGCAAGTTTTTTACGAGCAGCGCGAGCTGGAAATCTAGATCGTGTACTTGAACTACTGCGTTTGGGAACTGATATCAATACATGTAATGCGAATGGACTCAATGCGTTACATTTGGCCTCCAAAGAAGGTCATCATGAAGTGGTTCGCGAACTTCTAAAACGTAAAGCAGATGTTGATGCTGCTACGAAGGTTAAATTTACATATATTTATATGTGAATGGATTTTTTCTTTTCATCCCGTTATTGATAGCTTGCTTTTCATATCATCGTTTTTGTTGCAGAATGTATTTAGCCTTGTTGTCATCAATAATGTTTTCAGAAAGGTAATACAGCGTTACACATAGCGTCATTAGCAGGACAAGAATTGATCGTCACAATACTTGTTGAAAATGATGCTAATGTTAACGTACAATCATTGAACGGTTTCACACCACTCTACATGGCTGCGCAGGAGAATCACGAATCTGTTGTACGCTATCTTCTTGCACACAGTGCTAATCAAGCTTTGGCTACAGAGGTTCTCTTCACCGTGTCTTATCTTCTTTGCTTTCCTTTCCTCCTGAATCATAGAACAAAAAAAATATAATATCAAATTTGTTGAACAACAAATTGCGAACGTCTTTGCTTAGATAGAGTTTTTCATCCGAAACAAAAGGTAGCTGTGTTTGGCAGATGGCTGAACTCTAACTTTATCCTTACACTCTCAGTTTTTTTTGTTTAAACTTTAGAGAAACAATCTCTTTATCGTAAGCCAGTTACCTGAATTTGAATGATTAACATTTGTACATGAATCTCGTGAGTATTGGTTATGATACCATGACTTGCCCAAAGTTAATTAAGATTTGTTCTGTGTTTCTCACTAACTAAGAAACCGTCATATAAAAATTTTTTCAGGCATATATATACAAATCATAACTTCTTCGATCATTTTCATCTACTTATTATTGAATATCATTTGATAAATGAGAATTTTTCTGAACCTTCGACATTGATCAGAGTACTCCTTAAAATAGGGATTGTCAGAAAACATGGTAAATTATTGGTCGGGAACTCATGGATGCCTACTTATAATTGCTTTTTTTCAACATTTACCATTCCTTACTATTTCTATATCATGGTGATTTAGATCAAAAAAAAGAGATAATGATTAAGATTATCTGTTGCTTTATTTTGGATTGAGGGACTAAAAATATGTCTCAGTCATGTCATTCCTCAAAGGTATTTACCATATTTCGTAGATTACGTGAAGTCGTTAACTGGGAAACGTGAAAAGAAAACATTAAGAAAGTTACATCTTTCGTTTTTCGCTTTATATGAATATAGTTCTGAATGAAGTTCTTTTTCTACAAATAGTTTTTTAACTTTTTTTTTCTACAATTTCGCTGATATATTTTCCTAAACTTCACTTATTTAAAATTTGTCACGTAATAGTCCTTTTCCACGATTAGCTGGGACTGGTTGATTTTATTTCTGTCATGTTATGGCCTTTTTGAAACAACTTACTGTACAATCATTAGGAGTTTTAGAATCTGAAAATATTTCAGATTTATTGGTGACATTACATGGGAAAGCAGATTGTTTAGCTTAACCACTTTTCGCATTTACATATCATTTGCATCGTCACACCATAATCCACGATTTGTTGTTTGCTAAACTATTGCAACTGATGTCTTCAATGACATCGTGTTTAAGCTTTTTATTTGTAGGATGGCTTTACGCCATTAGCAGTTGCCTTGCAGCAAGGTCACGATCGTGTTGTAGCTCTCTTACTTGAGAATGATACACGTGGAAAAGTGCGCCTGCCAGCATTACATATCGCTGCTAAAAAGGATGATACGAAAGCAGCTACGTTATTACTTCAAGTCAGTTTCATCTTACAAGGAAAAATTTTTCAGATCTTTTATTTTTGTGACATTTTTTTTATTATGCTTTTCTGAGGAAAGAAAATTATTTCCGTCACAAGTTTATTTATGACAAAATTAAGATGCATAACTAAAGTGATGATTCATTTGCTGGTAGTAAACGAAGAATGTTTGGCATAGGTATGTGCTCTTGCGACCGTTACACATGTGGCTACTGAAAGAGATAATGCGAAAAGAGCCATGTTAAATTGGCTTCAAAGAAACAGAGGTATTCGGGATTTATTATGTGTATTTCATGGAGGCTAAGAGAAATTAATTTCAGAATGAGCACAATTCGGATGTGACTTCGAAAAGTGGTTTCACTCCGCTCCATATCGCCGCTCACTATGGAAATGAGAACGTAGCACTACTGCTGCTCGAAAAGGGAGCTAATGTGAATTACCAAGCAAGACATAACATAAGGTATTATTATGGTTTTAAATATCCTTAAAATGAATAAGAATATGGTGAGACAAAAAAACTGGTCCGTGAGTGGATGGATATATGAGAGTTACGCTCTTGAAACTTTCCTTAGAATCCCAACAGGTAAGTATAAAACACTGATCAAATACGGATTAACGTTTAAAACACTGATCAAATACGGATTAATATTATGCCCAGGTAAGTCCACTGTTAATAACAGCTACTGAGAAAATAAATTTTATTTGTTTATTTTCTGTTTCAGTCCCTTGCACGTTGCAACAAAATGGGGGCGTGCAAACATGGTTTCGTTATTGTTGGCTCACGGAGCCGTTATTGACTGTCGCACGCGTGATTTATTAACACCATTACATTGCGCTTCTCGGTCGGGCCATGATCAAGTTGTTGATTTATTGCTTGAAAAAGGAGCTCCAATCAACGCTAAAACAAAAGTACGCAACTTTTTGATACAATATCAGCATGCTTTTCGTATTATTTTTTGGTAGTTTCTAGCAAATATGATCTGGATAATTGGGTACAAACATTGTAGAATGGTCTGGCTCCTTTACATATGGCAGCACAGGGTGATCATGTGGACAGTGCTCGAATTCTGTTGTATCATCGAGCTCCGGTTGATGATGTTACCATTGATTATCTCACTCCTCTTCATGTGGCTGCCCACTGCGGACATGTCCGTGTCGCTAAGCTTCTGCTGGATCGTAATGCCGATTCAAATGCTCGGGCCCTCAATGGCTTCACACCGTTGCACATAGCTTGCAAAAAAAATCGCATTAAGGTATTCTTCATTGCAACAGAGTAGTTAAGCATTATATTTATGTTGATTTCCAAACTGTTATTTATCTGTTGCAACAACTGCTTAGGTTGTCGAACTGTTGCTGAAATACCATGCTGCCATCGAGGCAACTACAGAATCCGGTCTGTCGCCGCTTCACGTCGCTGCTTTCATGGGTGCTATAAACATCGTTATCTACTTACTGCAGCAGGTGATGATCGTTATTTCAAATAAACTGTTGTAGGTTTTCGGTATTCATTTTGTGGACTTTCCCACTATTCCTTATAACTGAAATAAATATTATCCTTTCATTTTTCAAATAATTTCTAATTCTACTTGTTTTTTATTTCATTATTGTCTAATCTTTCCTTGTATTATATTTATCCATCAGAGTGAATAGTGATCTTAACGTTTTATATATTTCTTTGTTTCACTGAGTCGGTTTTGCATAAATAGTACCAAAACTGGCATAATCTAATTAAGATTACTGATGGTGAGGTTATGCAAGATTTTTGCGGAGAAGGGAATGAGATGTCAATAATCTTTCATTTCAGGGTGCTAATGCGAATGTAGCTACTGTACGCGGTGAAACACCTCTTCATTTAGCTGCACGAGCGAACCAAACCGATATTGTCCGTGTTTTGGTACGTAATGGAGCCCAGGTTAGTCGGCACACCCTACTATTCTTATAACTACTTTGTAGGATCTATCATTTCTCACTTCATACCAGAACATTTTTCAGTCCATATTTCTTAAAAAAAATTGTGTCATTGTTCATTCTGTGTGTGGTCATGTAAATATCAAAGGAACTTTACCATAATTAGTTGTAATTATAATGCAAAATTCATTTTTTGATATTTTTTTAAAGGTGGATGCCGCGGCACGTGAGCTACAAACACCATTACATATTGCATCACGTCTTGGCAATACTGATATCGTTATCTTGTTGCTGCAGGCAGGCGCATCACCAAATGCTGCTACACGGGATCTCTATACTCCTCTTCATATTGCTGCCAAAGTAAGCTTAGCGGAACATGGAAAATATTTACACCTTTTTGATCAGGAGTCTGTAAATTGTTCAGTTTTCAAATATTGTAGGAGGGACAAGAGGAGGTGGCAGCAATATTGATAGATCATGGTTCCGATAAGACATTGCTTACCAAGAAAGGTTTTACACCGTTGCATTTAGCTGCTAAATACGGCAATTTGCCGGTAGCGAAATTATTGCTGGAACGAGGAACTTTGGTTGACATTGAAGGCAAGAACCAGGTAGCGGTTGTTAGTTTATTGTCGAGTTTTGCTATGCGTGCGTTTGGGGAAAATTTTTTATGTACAAATAATTTTTAAATACCACTCTATCGTTTTATCGTTTTAGGTGACACCTTTGCATGTAGCAGCACATTATAATAACGACAAGGTAGCGCTGCTGCTTCTAGAAAGTGGTGCTTCCGCACATGCCGTTGCCAAGAATGGATATACTCCTTTGCATATTGCTGCAAAGAAAAATCAGATGGATATTGCTAGCACTCTTCTTCATTATAGAGTACTTCATTACTATGTTCTTGCGTTTGAGGCGTATCTAATTACATGAATCTGTAATTTTCTCGTGTTTTATTTGAATCAAATCTTCATGCATTGGTTGAAGTAGGATTTTACTTGTGGAGATTGTATAAAAGTAACTGTTGCTGTTTTTGGCATATTGATTTTTCTTTAAGGCAAATGCGAATGCTGAAAGCAAAGCTGGATTCACGCCGCTTCATCTTTCTGCCCAAGAGGGTCATCGCGAAATGGCTGCTTTATTAATTGAAAATGGAGCAAAGGTAGGCTTTAGGAAAATTATAAAAGTAAGTGAAAAAGATTTCAAACTGCTGGTGGGTAGTTCACTAAATTATATAATTATTGTTGCATATTTCAGGTCGGAGCTCAAGCAAGGAACGGTTTGACACCAATGCATCTGTGCGCACAGGAAGATCGTGTTAATGTAGCTGAAGAACTGGTGAAGGAAAACGCAGCCACTGATCCCAAAACGAAAGCAGGATATACACCACTACACGTTGCTTGCCATTTCGGTTCGATTTTTTTAATGAATTTCTGTTCATATGCGTTAAACAATTTACAATTGTACTGTTGAAAACTTTTCAGGGCAAATAAATATGGTCCGTTTTTTGATTGAACATGGCGCGCCAGTTTCAGCCACTACTCGTGCTTCCTATACTCCGCTGCATCAAGCTGCTCAGCAAGGGCATAATAATGTTGTGCGTTATTTGTTGGAGCACGGTGCTAGTCCAAATGTCCAAACATCGGTAATATTTAATTAAGTTGCTGAGTAGAAGGGACATGTCGTTTGCTTGATAAGTTGACGTAGAAGACGCTTGAGTAGTAAAACTATTGAAACTGGTATTTGAGAGAATAAGAATGCGGTTCTCAGTCTTAAAGATACATTTTCTGTTATCCGAGATTTTACAGACAGGGCAGACTCCATTATCAATTGCGGAACGTTTGGGCTATGTATCCGTAGTTGAAGCACTTAAAACAGTAACCGAGACTACCGTGATTACGGAGACTACAACTATTACTGAAGAAAGATATAAACCTCAAAATCCCGAAGCAATGAATGAAACTATGTTTTCTGATTCAGAGGATGAAGGTATTTATACTTTTTTAGTCGAGTCGAATAATCATGCATAATTAGTTACTTACAATTTGTTTTTATTGTTCCGTCTAATGAAAGCAGTGCATTAAATGAAGCTGAGTTTAGTTTTTCTAGTGTTGGATTGCGCATATTAAGAATAAATGTGCAAACATATTCTCTTGATCAAATAAGATTCACGCATTCCACCCAGCGCAGCTTTTTTTTTTCTTTTTCCTTAATTGTTGTTATAGATCTAAAAAATTTTCAAAAGATTGACAGAATCTTAACGACTCAACAGAAACAGTGAAAATCATAAAAAGTACCGTTGAAAAAGCAAGTGATATGTTTCAGCCACAAAAAACCTGCATAGGCTTTTAATCAAAAGAAAAAGGAAAAAATAGATTCAGAGGAAGAGTTTCCTACTATGTTCCACGTTCCCAACTATTAGATGAACTAATTATGTGCTAAGTAAAGTTTAGTTAACAGGATTTTTTTGCTCGAAATGCACAGTTTTCATTTATTTCACCTAAAAATTTGTTAGCGAGAAAATATGTTTAAAGGGAAATTTAAAAACTCGTTGCCGAATATAAAATAATGCGCTCATTAGGATACCACGATTCTCTTGCTTGCTATTAACGTATTAATATTGTAAGCTAAGTATTGAGTGGTAGTTCGGTAACAACTCACAAAGGTTGGATTAGCAGTGTTGTGATTGTGTTGCTGAATGCTCTTGTTGTTGTTGTTGTTGAGCGTTTGTTCGTCGATTCAGCACCGAATACATTGGAGGAGGATGCGTCACATCTTCGTGTCCTGACACACTCGCCGTTACGCTTGTCAACAGATGACCATGACCTGAGCTTCTTTCCCAATCACACTTCAAGCCCCTATCCTTCACCTGGAGCTACTCTGATTTACTTATCACGTATGATTTTTTCATTTCTTCCTTTTCGCATTTTAACTTCCTTTTTTATCTGTTTGTGATTTGTTTTTAATTTAAATTGACATAGAAATATTACTTTCCACAGGTTGTGCGCAAATTCTTTGACAATTTCATCGTGAATTACGGTCTATAAATCAGTTATTAATGTGTGGACGGAATTGATTATAACGCGATCGTTTCTGTATTTATAGCAAATTAATGTTTGAGGTTCTGATAAGGGTGATGATAGGAGTAATGATAGTAGTACTTACTAATACATCCTTGAGGCTTGCATGTACATATAGCTCCATCAGTGTAGTGCTGCTGAAGGGCTGTTTTGCAGCTTGGTTTTGTTCAAAGGTAATTTTCTCTCGTATAACCGGATCGATTTTTTATGTTCTGGCTTAGTTAGTCTTTCTGCATTATACAGTATGTTTTTTATCAGTGGCAATATGTTTAACAGTTTACCGCGAGACTTTCATCTTTGCATGAATTAGAAGTTGCTATAACTTCTCACCTGTTGAATTTTTGAATTAACTTCATATTCTAGCGCGAATATGTAAATGTTAACCCTCTTAACGACTGTGATCACTCAAATTTTTTATCCCTCTCAGTCTTTCTCAATTGGAGATTTAAAAAATTAATGTTTTCTTACTTTTTTTTTGCAAATGAAACATGAAATTCTAAAAGATGTTATGATAGTGTCAGTGTCTCTACTGTTAATTTGTTGTGCTCCCTTCTATCAGTATACATTTCTCTTTCTTCTTTTCCTCTCTTCTTTTACTTCATATTTGTGTACACATCGCATGCGCGTCGTTTTTGCTTCGAATAGGTCATTTCACTGAAAACTTGATGGATATGAGGTCAGTGATCGTTGTGCTCAAAAATGTCTTCTTTCACCCGCATTCTTGACAGTAGCACAATTGTTGCAAAATTTGTTTAGTTTTCAAAAACTTATATTTTTTTATTATGTCGGATAACTTCATAATTTGTTGGCCACCCATGATTTCATTTCCCTGTATGAAGTAGAACAGCCTGTGTTAGCTGTGATCAGATTTTGACATATCTGACATACAAGACATACAAGTGATCACCATTTATTGCAGGGAAAACTCAGCAGTTCTAAGATATCCCCTGCGTCAACTGCAGAAGTAGTTATAGTGTATACACTGAAGATTTATTGCAGGTGATGATAATCAGATAACAGCCAATGCTCATGCTCATGATTTCTCAGAAAGCCTCACGAAAGGTTTGCATGACTCAACTGGTGTGCATCTGATTCATGCTACAGAACCGGTATTTTTTTACATGTTTCGGGAACCATTTCTGTTGGTTATTCAGTGGGTTACAAATATGATTCTTTTTGAAATAACAGCGATCTGTTGATTTACAATTTTTTTACGGCCTATTCGTTTTTAAAGTCTAAGTTTTTTTGAGACAAAGTTAAGGCAATTCATGTGATAATGGGAAAATTTTTAAAATAACTTGTGAGAATTCGATTTTCTAACGGTTACTATTTTATTATGCCCTCTCCGTTTTGGGTGCACAAAAAGACTTTCCATAATGAACACCAAAGCCTGTTGAAGTCTCTTTCAAAGAAAATCGACCATATTATGTGGATTTGCAGATGCTGTCAAGAAGCCCAGAAGTAGAAGGTGTGGATGGCGATCTGGATGCTTTAATTCGCAAAGCACAAGTAATTCGTTTAATGTTGTGTCATTTGATTAACATAGGGAAAAAATTCTTTGGCTCTGCTCTGTTAGTTATCCTAAATAGATTAAAACAAATTAAGAATAGCCATACCCAGTTTTATGTTTTGATTATCTTTAGACGATGTGAAACATATGGGTTCTTCCCTTTATATTGTGTGACTCATGAAGTAGATAGTTTTATATAAGCTTCTGCTTGCGATTGTAACAAAGTTCCTTCTAGCACGAACCCGTTACTACAGCTATGGTTGATCCTTCTTTGGATGCATCGCTTTCTGACAGTGTTCCAGCAATAAGAACTACCGTGCAACCTAGGTAACATGATTATTATTACAGCTGCAACGCTTCGTTTAATTTACCAAATTTTTCTCTTGCGAAAATCGGTCCTGCTGATTCTCATCATAAAATATTGTCTTTTTGATCAAATGCGATCTATATTTTTGTAATTTATTATTTATTTCAGCAAACTTCTCCACAAAACGTGAGTTTTTAATATTAGTTATATTAGTTTCGTGCTGCATCATACGGCATGTTCTTTTATTTCTTCCATCTGAAACCGGAAAATTGTCCAGGTCTAATTTTTCTCAGCTTTTTTAAATAGGTCAGAATATCTGTTACAATTTCTCTTGGCAAGCTATCTGAATGAACAGCACAATGAAGTTATTGTTTATTTCGGGAAATCAAGAAGTCTTTGTAGAAAACATTTTCTTTGTTTGATTTAAAACTTCCGGATCTCATTCCTAGACCTCTCGAACTAATGTGCTGTCGATTATCTATCTCTCAGATCTGTGCTGCTTGAATTAGATAGTAGAAATTTATTTTCAGCTTTAATTTTATGGATTTTCCAAACTTCAAGTACTATTCATGTCTTTTACGAAAATCTTTATAACTTGCTTTATAAGAATATAGACTTCAGTTACTTCTCTTGAAACATTGCTTACTAAAAATCAATTCCGCTTTTACTGGTGTAACGGAATGCCTTTCACACACCTGTTCTCTGTTTTTGATGGTAAAATTTCGTCTACCGTCTGATAAACTTCAAGCTTCCAGAACTGAAGGAATGACAGCACTAACTTGCGGCTTTGATGCACTTATTTGTCCTTTCACCATTAGGATAAGTGCTATTTCAGCTTTTTAATTTCGTTTATGGTGGACGCACGTGGTGGAGCAATGCGTGGTTGCCGACATTCTGGTGTAAGAATCATTATACCACCAAGAAAAGCACCACAACCTACACGCGTCACATGCAGATATCTTCGAAAGGTAATTTTTTCTTTATTTCAAAGTTTGGAATTGTAGTTGGATTTAGTTTTGGAATGCTTTCTATCCAATGCTTTATTTATTTATAGTTATATATTTATAGGATAAGTTAGCACACCCACCACCACTAAGTGAAGGTGAAGCGCTTGCTTCGCGTATACTTGAGATGGCACCACATGGTGTAAAGTTCTTGGGTCCTGTAATATTGGAAGTACCACATTTTGCATCACTTCGTGGACGGGAGCGAGAGATTGTTATTTTACGTTCTGATGATGGGCAACACTGGAAAGAGCATCAGCTAGAGGCGACAGAAGATGCCGTACAAGAGGTTTGCGCAACAAGTTCTTTGCGTTTTTTTTTTTTTTTAATGCTATATTAAATAACCTATATTTTCTAGAAATATGAGTTAGTCACTTTTTCCAGGTACTGAATGAATCATTTGATGCAGAAGAGTTGTCTCAGCTTGATGATTTGCATACGTCACGAATTACGCGTATCCTTACCAACGATTTCCCTATGTATTTCGCGGTCGTTACTCGTGTGCGGCAGGAAGTACACTGTGTTGGTCCAGAAGGTGGTGTAATACTCTCTTCAGTTGTTCCTCGTGTACAGGTCCTTCTTATGAATTCATTCCAGAATTTCAATATGTTTTAGAGCTTTTTTAATGCTGTACATTAATGTTTGTTTGTTTTTTGTCTAATTACTCACTATAAATTTTCGTACTTCCACAGGCGGACATGTTTTACTAGACCGTCTTCTAGGCTATATTTCCGGATGGCTCTTTGACCAAGACTATCAAAGTATCTGTACAAGCTCAACCAGTTCCACAAGAAATAGTTGCTCGTTTACACGGGAACAGAGTTGCAGTATCCCCAATTGTAACTGTTGAACCTCGTCGTCGCAAATTTCATAAACCCATAACGTTGTGTATTCCATTACCACAAAGCTCAAATAAAGGAATGTTAACACAGTACAGGTATTCCTTTATTGTACTTATTAAATATGAACAAAGAAGTGAAGTAGTTTACATTCTTTTATATTATGCTTCAATTTTATAAATTTTTTAGTACTTTTTTTTTTATAATTTCTATAAATTCTAGCGGTCAACCAGGACAGGAACCACCGACGCTTCGTTTATTGTGCAGTATAACTGGTGGATCTGCTCCTGCTCAGTGGGAAGATATTACTGGAACTACACAGTTAACATTTACTGGTTAGTCTGTTGAACAGCTCTTTTTCTTTTCAGTTCATTCTATTGAAAAGAAAATTGTTTCTTAGTGAGATTTATGATTCTGCATAGTTTAGCTTAACTTTCTCTTCTATCTTACTTTTTTTTTTTTTTTTTTTTTCCAGGCGAGGATGTTTCATTCACAACTACTGTTTCTGCTCGATTTTGGTTGATGGACTGCCAAACTCCGCGGGATGCAGCGCGAATGGCACAAGAAGTTTATAATGAAGCAATTTCAGTTCCGTATATGGCTAGATTTCTTATTTTTGCTCGACGAACTTTTCCTAATGAAGGACAGTTGAGGTTTGTTTTTATTCATTTATTGTTTGTTTATAATTATTTTTTTGTTACTTGTTCTTTTTGAACGTAATGCCAGAATTTCAGATTGTTTTGTATGACTGATGATCGGGAAGATAAAACCTTGGAAAAACAAGAACATTTCATTGAAATTGCTAAATCGAAAGATGTCGAAGTTTTAAGTGGACGACATCAGTTTTTGGAATTCTCTGGAAATATCTTTCCAATAACCAAAAGCGGCGATCAACTTTCGCTTTATTTCTTGCCATTCCAAGAAAATCGTCTTGCTTTTATGATAAAGGTATCGTAAGCTTCCTCTATATCCTCTTCCCATATATGTAATTTTGGTGTTCCTAACTGTAGATTTTAACCTATTCTTGGTGTTTTAAAAGTTCGGATGTATATGTATTTTTCCAGTTTGATTTCTTCAATTCCATTTCTGTTATTAAAATTTAAGACACGTGCTCGCACAGACAACGAAGCCGCTGCTGATGGACGAATATCATTTATGAAAGAACCGAAAATGCGAGCCGAAAGTTTGCCTCCTCAGACGCCATTATGCACTCTTGCAGTCACTCTTCCGGAATACACTGGACCGGTAATACTACTGGAGATTAAGAAATATATAGGAATATAAAATGTGTGGGTGAAAACAAATGTTAATATAATGGAAAATTGGTAGAGATTCTTTTGGTGATGTCAAGATTTTAATATGTTTACACATTCGCGAGGTCGAAAGTAATATATATATGATTTTTCCTTGTAACTTTTTTCATATTTCTGTTATCTTTCTCTTGAAATTAACCCTTTAGATTTCCAAAAAGCCCTTCTTTTCGGAAGCTCTTTTGACGGAGAAGTACACTGAAGCTTTGCATGAAACTGCTGAGCCTGAGGACTTGCCACTACCGCACGTTGCACGACTCATTGGTGCCGACTGGCATCGATTGGCTCGAGCACTCGAAGTACCTGATATTGATATACGGCAAGTTCGACATCAGCTAGTTGGCCTTGAAGCAATTACTGTTTTGCGAATTTGGATGTTTTTGAAGAAAGGACAAGCCACACGTAAGTTTTACTTCAACAATAAAATGTTAGAAGGGTCTGTAAGTTTTACTTCAACAATAAAATGTTAGAAGGGTCTGCTAATGATTAAAAGTTATGTTCGGAGTAATGGACTTGTATTTTATAGTAATTTCTGAATTATGTAAAATTTCAGCTGCTATTTTGCGATCAGCGTTACAGCGAATAGGACGTGATGATGTTGTACGAGAAATTAGTCGGGTTGAAAAGCCGGATGATTTGGAAGGGACACCCGTATCACATATTTCTGGACCTTCAGTAACAATATCATCCATGTCGCTAGAAGCAGATGGCAGACGTCATTACCCCGAAGTACGCTGATCATAATTGTGATTTTCTTGGGAATTACTTCTCTGGTTAGTATTGCATAAGCTGAAAAAAACATCTGAAATCCTTAAAGGTAGCGGCGACACAACAGCTAACGGTAGAGGAACCATTTTTTCAACAGTCGGAATATTATGGAATAGATGGCAATACAGGAGGACCGAAGGAGCAACCATTCCGTGGTATTTGACTTTTTTTTAATGAATCAAGATACTGCGGACTTTTTAACTATGAGTGGTTTCATCTATGATGTGATGTAGATATATATATATATATATATATATTGCAGAAGAGGAAGAGGAGGTTGCTGTTTCAGAAATTCGAACAGTTGTGCGTACTGAACGACATGTGCATGATTCGGAAGATGGTGAGCGAAGTTTTAATACCGGTGGGTTCTAGCGGGTTTTGATGGTGTTGAAACTTTATAAAGTTTGTAGTTGAGAGTAGCAGATTTTTTATTGCAGGTCCTATTGTGGAAGAACGCACAATAACAACTACATATGAGGATGACGTTGCCGTTAATGAGGAAATTGTCGACAGGATAGTGCCTCTCAACGAGGAGGAGCAAGAGAAGTGGGATCGAATGGTTCGAGAAGCAGAGATGAATTTAGAGCAGCAAGTAAAAGCTTCTGTTATCATTCCTAATTCCTCAATGTGATTTTGCAATACAGTGAATAGAGAACTTTCACTGCCTGCCTTTTTTAAATGAATCTTAATTTGAGTTTTCCACTACATGGCATACAACAGTGTTGGGGCATTTTTTTTTTTTTTTTTTTTTTTTGAACTACTGGTTTTAGAATTACGGATGCATTACACTATCGTCAATCATAGCATAAACAAGTAGGCATTATTTCACTACATTAAATATCTGCTTAAGTAAAGATCGTTACTTGAAGAAAGAGCCGAAAGAAGGGACGCTTGATAGTCAGGTAACACATGAAGAGAAAAAAGATGGTGATGACGGTGTCATCCTGAAGACTACAAGAATGGGGAGTAGTCATGTTTCGCAATTTTTGCCCGATGAAGCCAAAACAGCCGCCAATGAAACAGGACTAAGTAGCAGGGATGCAAGTATTGTTATGACTCCGACAGGAGAGGAGAAGGTTGATCACATAGGTTTGTAATTTTCTTAATAATTTCAGCTTACTTTAACCAAGCAAGTAGTTTTTGATGTAAAACCTTACATTTTGAGAAACGGAATGTAGAGTAAGTTGTAGCTATATAATTTTACACCGTCTCACACAGTCTGACAGTGATTACTTTAGGAATTTCATGTCATAGTAGGTTTAGTGTCCTCCACTTCTCAATTGCTTTTATTGCCAGCACTATACGAAAATTGTATTCTGGTTGAGTTATCTTGACCTATTCACGTGTTTATACTTCTTCCTCCATCATGAATGTTCTAATGAGGCATAAGAACCTTTTTATGTGATCAATCTTTTAATCGGACTATATCATATAAGGAAATTGAACCACTAAAAAGTTCAGCGAAAAAAATTAAAAATAGTTCCTCTAATAAGATAGATTGACTGGGTGGTTCGCCATAATGTGTGAAATGGGTAATAGATTAAAAAATGTGCCTGCTAAAAAGATCATGTGTATTTTCTTGTGCTGCTAACTCTGAAGGCCTAAACAAGTTGTGATACAAGGATTATTTTGGTATTCTTATCATAGCGCCTGGAGAAAGGGCAAAAATTTCTTGATGAATCTTCAAACACTCTTTATTATAATATATTTGATATGAGTCTGCACTTCTGCCTGCTGCACACAACGCTTTCGTATGTATTGGAGGGGAGAGCACGAAGGTTGCTATAAAATAGAGGGGAATACTGGCCATTCGCTGTACAGCTCTTTCTTCCATTGCTTGCACTATTGCTAATTATATATTTCCTGTGATATTATCAGAGTCATTTTGTTAACGATGTTGTTGAGGTATTCGTGCTTTAAACAATTCTTATTGTGGTAGTTGCTTATCTATCTGTTCTATAGTAGTAAGAGGGAGAGGGACAAGGAATGCTGGAAGTTCAAATTGAGTCAGCTGTTTTGCGTTTCACTTCTATATCATTTGAGATAATTACTTGCGAGATTGTGCGAGATCAATGAGGCATTGGAAGAGAGAGTTGTTTTGAATTCGTTCGGAAACAGGGATGGAGAACAGAGTGTGCAGCAGAACACAAGCATCAGTGCAGCAGCAGCAGTAGCAGTAGCACATGATGCCGTTGATTTTTCAGACGTGATGGAGGAAAAGCGAACTGATGAAGAGGCTAAAGGGCAGAATGTTCATGAATAATCTGGATCCACAAATTGATTTAAATCGCAATCTCGCACATGCCTATGTTGCTAGTATTTAATGAAATTTTGCTAAGCACCGTAATTTGAGTGTTTTTTGGGCTTCCCTTATTGTTAAAGCATTTTCCATCATCCGTTCAGTTTTTTTCTTTTTTTTTTTGCTGCTGTAGTCTGTAACTGCTACTCTTGATAAATTTGCTCCAGTATCTGTCAGGGACACATCAAGCACAACAGCTGACTCTTGTCTACTCTTCTTCCCTCAGCCTCTGTTTTCTCCCTATCCTTTTAATTCTAAACAATGTCCGCTTCAGAGGTTGCCGCACATAGCCTAGTCCTCGCCGGAATAACTAATTCCGGTGCAATTATCATTAATGGGGTCATCCTGGATTGTTACTGCTTGAGCACCACCCTGTCTTTTCACCACATAGATTCTGTTACAAAATTCATCGCTGAAGAAGGAATGTCCGAGTGTGAACAGACCACCTATGTAACAGGTGACAGTGCTATGGTTTCGGCAATGACAACTAAAATTCAGATTGGAAATATGAGTGGGGAAACCACTTCTGCTACAGAACAGGGGGAAAGCCACACAGTGAGCACGGGAGTGGATCTACAAATCCAAGCTGAAACAGAATCGAAGTATGAGCAAGGTACTGATATGATGAAGCCAATTGCTTCCAGCGGTCTGTTTGATCGCAAACGAAGTCCATCGATTGCTGCTGCACTCCTTTCCGGAGATCGCGAACCTGGACATAAGATATACGTACAATTTGTAAGTCCCAGTGGTGCAGAAGTGATCGGAGCCTATGAAAATGAGGAGGAGTTCGCTGGGATGGAGCTATCTGTTCAGTCAGTTATAGGCCGTTTGCTCTTCACTTTGAGTTCATTGAAAATGAGCAACCCTGACCGCCACGCAGCTGCAGTTCGTCGTTTGCAGGATCTTGAAGAAGAATTACGCGCTGTTGGGGCTGTTTGCCCTCCAGATACGACTGCTTCAAATGTTGTTTCCAAGATTCTTGCTTCAGCATCACCCACTTCTGATATTCAGATTCGTGTTAATTCTTCTCAGCATATCACTAACACGAAATCTGTTTTTGAAACGGAAACGCCTGGCATGGACGGTCTCGATGCAGCAACCGTGCAGCATTTGCAGCAACAACTTATATCAAATATGAGTCAGATTTGCTCTTAGTGTGACATTTATATCAGTTAATATTTCCTTTGTTTGATTTCTGCAACTAACGCTCCACTTCTCTTGTGCCTTCCTTATTCATTTACTATGGTAGCATTTCAGGTGTGCGAGAACCTTCTTTATCTTCAACAGAACCAAATATCCCAACAGGTGATACCTATTTCCATTGCTTTATTCCTGAAGATTACAAATTGGCGATATACTCTGTCTTTTACAATGTGTGTAGAATTCGCTTCCTTTTTTAAAATTTCCCTGCTTTATTTCAGCCAAATTAGTTCATTGAATGAAAGGAGGTATATTAATTATTTAGAAGAGATATTATATCTTATCATGAATTTTTCCTACATCAGAAATTATCATTTTCGAATATACTTCCTGAACAGGAAAAGGAAAAAGTGTAAAGGAATAAAACTGATATTGGAAAATTGTTAAATAGTATTTTTAATTTTAAGTTACCGATCAGAGACATGAAGCCATGGCGGAGGGCTTCACGAGTGAAGATGGTTCTGTGGTTGTATCAAAGAAGATGACACGCGTTGTAACTACGACAAGGACAACATTTCCAGGTTGACAGGCTTTTTCAATACGGCAGTTTTAGCATTTAGTTTCAAGTGAATGCGTAAATGTGTATTAATTCTGCAGTATTTTGTGCCGCTCTTAGCTACTGGAACTCCTTTAGCACCTGTGTTCCATTTTGCGTCCCAGCTAGTCGTTAATACTTGTCAGTGCAGCTAGTAAATTAATGTTGATAAGATTTAATATCACAATTTCAATGATTTATTTCATTCAGAACTAGCTGATACAGATTTTTGCTTATCTCGTAAAATATGGTTCATATATGAAGAAATGGTGCACATCTGCATGTTTAAATCTAAAGAAAGAAGCAACAAATAGTTTTTATACATAGCATCTTTACCAGAAGTTTGATCGAAATTTCGGGATCTGGTTGTATTTGATATTCCTTTCATCCCTATAGTTTTTGATAGTGGTACTAATCACAAGTAATGTCGTAGCCTTTAGTGTGTTCGTTTATTTTAAGGAAATCAAATTTTTATGCTCAGTAATTTTGAAATTTGAAGGAGCATAAATTATTGGTAATGAAAGATTTAGATATAAACTAACAGTATAACCGGTTGCTCGTTAACGGTGCAGCGATATTAGCATGGTATTTATGACTTTTCTGCTGAACTGCTAAAATTATGTTGCAGGAGAGAAGACGGAGTCGAATATGGGTGAGTAAAAGATGAAAAAAATTTATGTGGAACGTCTTGAAATCTGCCAGCTTTCTAGTGATATAACTTTTACTACTGCTGCATGTACGCGGAGTGCACCTTTTTTGTTATGCAAATGTGTTCATAAAAGTTGACTTACTTTCGTTTGTTTGTTTTTGTGATGTTTATCGTTATAGACATTTTGCTTGGTTGTGTTATTTTCAGCGCTACTTAGGCGTAGTCTTTTTAGTCGACCAACGCTTTCGTTTCGTTTCTGAATTATTATTATTATCATTATTATTTATTATTTTTATTATTATTATTATTAATTACAGTATATTAGTGACATTCATTACAAATATTCAATTATCACATTTTCATTTTAAGAATGCATTACTTTGGTGTTACTGGTTGATTGGTTGGTGTTATGTCCTTTTCACCCATTGCTTTTACACTTCCTTTTTGGTCTTCATTTAGGAGATTTGATACGGTTGAAAGTGAACGAACAGGTATACTCAGGCAGTGTGGATCCCGGTGACCAACACATACATTTGGTACCAATTACCAAGCAGCGGCAATAGCAAAAGCTGGATTCAAGCGACCAACAACAGCAACAGCACTAGAATCATAGCATTTCAACGAGCATTATATTTGTACACATTGCAAATATTTTTCGTTTTTTTCTTATCTGTTTGCTTGTCTGAGCACTACTTTTTATGGTGCGTCTATTGTTATCACAGTAAAGCATATTGTTTGCACGACCGATTAGAATTTATAGGTCGGTGTTGTGAAATCCCACTGGCCAAGTTTGGAGTGGAACCCAGCAGTTTGAGAGTTTTCCCTATTAGGCAAACAGAAGAGAAGGAAGAAACGAAAAAGGTGGTAACTGAAAAGGGACCAAGAAACAATTAGAATATTATACTTGGTGCCCTATATCTACCTGACATCTTCAGAGCGGTCTCCAAAAGCAGACTGCTTGAGTTGTGAACTAGGTCTAGAATATAGTGCAGAAAATATTCCTTGTCCATCTTGTATTTATTATTATTCAAGCGCATGTTTATCATTTGGCAATTGCTGATGCAACCAGTGCTTTTTTGTCATTTTTTGCGAAACAAAAACTTTATTGTGCTCTTTCTGTCATTTATTTTCCTTTTCATTCCAACCTTTTTACAAATGTCACATTGCTGTTTGTTACTGTGCCTCACCCTATCACTACTCCATATTTTCTGGTTCCTAGCTAAATTTCATCTGAAGGTCTAAATGAAACATGTTGTTGAACAATTCTATATAGCATTAGAAAGTTATGCTCTTTGTCATGTCAAGACAAGCTTTATGTGAGTTGAGTAAAAGTTGAGGAGTAGCAACTAGAACACTAGTCTTTACCTCGGAGGCACTCTATTACATGAATCTACTTAATCCGTATGTTACCATTAAAAACTGGCAAATTATTTTGGGAATTGACGCGTTCACATGGGAGTTTACTTATCATTATTGAATTTTTTTTGGAACTAGAGATTCGGATATTCCTGAAGCGTAGATGCGTTCCATTGCTGAGTTACACCATCAAAAGATTTAAGCTTGAGCAGTGACCACAAAATCTTAGAAATCCGTTTATTAAAACTGTGGGAATTGTGCAAGAAGGTAGCTAATTTCCTGGTGATCGTATACTAAAAAGGACTTTTGGGATGTGGGTACATGAATTAAAATATATGATCTCTCAGTTTTTCTAATCACAGCATGGGAAATTGCATCGTTTTGAGTAAGTTTGAGATTCGTTTTTCAGTTAAAAACATTGTAAATGAATACTGCTTAGAGAAATTCGGAGTGGTAGCAAAGTAAAGCTGACTCTAAAACCTGAATGAGTGAACTATAAATTGCCCATAAGATGACCAGTTATTGAAAGTAGGCTTCGAATTTTTTTTTTTTTTTTTGTGTGTGTTTTGATGCCAAACTTGTAGATGCTTGAGATGTAAATCGAATGCTTTTGTGATTGGAGAGAAAAAGAAAGGAAAACAATTCGAGAGGTCAATTAGACAGTCTTTGTGCTATTAATAAGGAACTTATCAACGCTATATTATTAATCAGAACTGCCAATCCCGAGTTTTCTTTTGCATTTTCAAAGCTTTTGAAAAACACAAGTACAAAATTGTTCTGAGTGAAATGTATTGAGCTATCAGGAATGTGGGACTTTAATTCGTAGAACAGTTACAACCACCTAACCTCTGTTTAGGAAAAAAGATTCTTTATCAAAACCACTTATCGCAGTATTCTTTATACCTATTCCCGCATTTCACTTTCCTATACTTTACACCACTCTTCCAAATTGCTTGGATGTCTTGCATTTGTAGTTTTCGTTTCATTTAGCTGCTGGTGATATTGTCCCTTTTCATCTTCCAGTACCTTTTTCTTAGCACGCCTGAAGGTTACGGGAATATGGATTTCCCTATTTTGTTGTTACCGGTCATTGTTATCTTACAACACAAATTGCCCACTGGGATTTCATAGATGCAACACTGATAGTACCACCAAAAACCCATGCTTTCTAGTAATCTTTAAAGCAATTCTTTTATTTGATAAATTTCAGACATTACAGATGGTATTTATACTTACAATAGGTATATACAAACACAAGTGTAAGTATGTAATCAGCGACACAAAATGTGTAGGTCTTATCAGTGCTTAGGTGCCCATGCATACAATACATTTGAACTAAAAATCAAAACATTCATATCATTTAAGATGAGAATATGATAAAAATCTGTGCAAATTGGGTTCAGAATTGCTAACTGTCATGTTTGCTACAATATTTAAGTGCATAAAATGTTGCACTACCCGTTTGAACTACGAAAAAAACATTGGTGATACACTACAACTCATTTTACCCGAATAGATGCATCCATTACTGAGATCTTTCAGTTAACGATTTCCATATGTTCAGAGCTCTCCGACATCATTTCAGGGCATATTTGCTATGTTAGTTAGTTGAAGTAGGTTGTTCATCTGATTTTTTATCCTTTTATTTATTGTATCATACAAATTTATTATTTAAACTAAATGATGTACTGCTTTTACTATTTTGTGACAAATTCAAGTACAAAATTTTCAGGACGACTTCCGAGTGCTCTTGATACGATAGGATCAGTCAAGGAACGTATTGCCATATTTGAAACACTTTCAGTGGATGAGAAATCTGTTTCAACTCGTAAGGCAGATAATCTGTCAGAATTAGCGGAAGTTCCAAAGCGTGAGAGGTACAGTCTTTTTCGCGAAGGCCCTAGTGAACCTCATGATGAACCGAAAATAGTGCCTTGCAAGCCGGGAAGTGATCAATTCGATACAAAAGAGATTGGCAAGTTATTTTTATTAGCTCAAATTGAATATTCAAGTGGTCATGTAGACAGGATGACAAAAACACAAAGCAAAACTTATTGCGGGTATAATGAAACTCAAAAAGAGCAGGGATGTCCAAAAATATAATTATAACCAGATCATACAGCTACGCAAGAATCAAGTGGGCATTCCAGGAGTTATGGAATACAAAAACATATAATGAATATAGTGTGGTACCTTGGAAACAGTGTAAAACAGACGAAACAAAAAAATGCGAATAAAAGCGTAAGAAATACAGAAAAGCAAAAATTGGCTAAATGGGAGCAAAAACTAAGCCTGACCTTCCTAATAAATTGGAAATGATCATGTAAAGACGATTCCAGAAAATAGTTGAAGCAGAAGTGGCAAAAAAAATTACCGTAGGAAATAAAATAGAAGAGGATTCCTTTAGAAAATGATTTACAGCAAACAGTAACATAGCCAGCCATTTCCAATGAATTAAAAGACAAAGATGTACGGATCAGGGAACTTGTTCTGAAATCCATCCAATTGAAAGATGAGAAATCACTGATGCGGAAGCGCCTCCCAAAGCAATTTGAAGTCACAAGAAAAGAAATCCAATCAAAAGGACATGTTTTTGTAACAAAGAAAACTCTTTTAGTAGGTGTAACACTAGATTCCGAAAGTATTACTTGGAAAAAAATACTGATTCCAACTGAATACTTTGGACTAGAAAAATTTCTTCTGGAAAACGAAACTGTAAAAGATAAAACATTTCTATTCCAGCATATTAAAGGACTTTCTATGCAAAAACTGAAGTTCAAGAAAAATGAACGCATGCTTTCTGGATGGTGAAAGGTGAAGAATACCCGAGTAAGGGTGTTAGTTGTTATACATTTGCAACAACATGTGCTAGTGAAAGACTGGAACTAGATTTCTTAAAAAATAGGAATGGTGAACCCGAAATGATTGTTCTGTAAAAAGAAATGAAAGAACCTAAAGTATTACTGCCTGATGAAATGAACAAGTATTGCCAGAGAAACCTACGAGATGCCGCATAGAATCAAATCAAAAGAACCACCCCTATCGGGGTAGAAAAGTTGTGGGAAATAGCTTGTTTAAAGAAGCAAATATATTGGGGATACTACCTGTTAAAGCAAAAATTAAGTGAAAGAAAACATCTATGGTAAAAATCGGAATACCTAAGGAGATTTTACAACCGGAAAAATTAAAAGCAGGGAGAGACATAATGAGTATGACTCAGGAGAAAAATGTCACTGAGCAACATAAGAAATCATCTTCATTGTCGCAGATGATAACGGTTAAGAACATATGCGGCTTGTCTACTGAACGACATAAGCAAGAAATTTATAAAGCGAAGATGTGTATGACGAAGACGGAAGACCAGTGCTGCATAAGCAACCAACTTGTAAAACAAAGAACTAACGACCGCTTTGGAGCCAATTTCGAGACAAACAGAAGAGTTCCAGGAGTTTATGTCAGTGGAAGCTTTCGAGAAAAGGGAGAAAAGGATGGAATTAATTTTGATATTGTAATGCAGTTAGAAATAGAAGAAGGCAAAGTAAGGTTGATAAAAACTACCGAAGAGAAAAACTGGAATTGTTTTAGCAAAAGAAACCGCAGCTGCGGCAAGAGTAATAGATTATCAATGGAGGGAAACAGCAAGAAAAGAGGTATATTACACACAGGGTATTCAGATAGAGTGGTTGCTTAAAGATGCAAGCTCTCAATTTCAGGAAGGTGAAATGGAAAAACCAAAAATGATCGTCTTGCAAAGAGAAAAATAGTTTGATAAAATGGAAGACAAAATGAAACATACAAAAAAAAGACCATTACTGTTCGCTGTTCACTTCCGATAAAATCATAATGACTGTCCCTTTCTAGGGATTTCATAAATGCAAATGTATGAGCTTGAGGATAATGAAACAAGGCTTCCTTCCATACATCCAGAAGTAGGGGATTACGTAACTAAAGATTACTGTAGAAGGGGAAGCACAAGCACATCATGAGCCGGAAAGGAAAAAATCTGTATCAAAGAGGAAATGCCAACAAATCGAAGAACTGAAGAGGACGAAGTTTTGTAGTTAATGAAGCACTAGATGTAGTAGCTGAAACTACGCCCGAATTATGTGTATTAGCTCCAACTGAGAAACTGATAGATGTTAGCCAAAGATCGAATTTGCAGTATGAATTTGAAGTTTGAAGAGGAAGAAAATCTATTCGCACAAAAATCTCCAAAGCTTGATAAGAAAGAGGACAACATGCCTGTCATTTCGAAAATTCCGAGAGATAAGGAGGAACTGAAAAAGAAACCTTACTAATAGGGGGAGAGGTCACTTCTGAATATTTGATTGACATCGATAGTGATTTTAAGAATAAAGAAACAGTCCATACAAAGCAACAGAAGGAGTTGAAATTAATTATAAGAGGTCACAGAAATGAAGACGAAAGCAAAAACTATGAGGACATTTTAAAAAATAATGAATTACAAAACTCGCTGGAAAGAACATCTCCTTTCATAAAAGGTTTTGTCGAAGGTATCTTTGAATTTTTCGGATTAGTGTTCCAAAATTGATGGTGTGCAACCATGCTTTTCTCCAAGCAGTGTGTCTCGACTGGTTTGTTTCAGAAATAGGAAAAGATGATGGAAGAAGCAAATATAACATCTACGTATATACTTAATTATGATGAAATGGGCAACAAAGATGATCAGTTATAAAAAGGAAATTGTAGAAAGAACTCTATAAAAGTCGTAGTAAAAAAAATGAAGAGGAAAAAAATAAAATTATAGCAAATCAAAGTAAAGTGCTCAAAAGGCGAAGTGGAGCAAATAGAGAAGATTCCAAATGAAGGAATAGAACCTATAAAAGCAGAGAAAACAGAAGTTTTCAGGACACTACACGAGTGCAGTGAGAAATGGAGCAATACTTAATGAACCAAGAAAATGAAAGTATGAGAAGAAATGATGAAATTTGTGTAGGTCGATCTTATTCTGAAAATTCCAGAGAAAGTATTTCAGAAAGATCAGAAATTCTGATTGAAAGAAAGGAAGGAATTATTTAGATTTCGACATAAAGAAGTGGACTTGAAATTCTCAAGAACGATAGAGGAAAAGCTAGAAGTCGAAAGAACAGAAAAATATTACATTCCGATAGTGTGCTTCGTGATGCAGTAAAAAGCATGAACAGACATCAGCCTATCTCGAATTAACGATTAAAATGGATGAATGGGACACTAAAAGTGCGGTAATCGTAATGAAGGGATTTCATAAATTGGAAGAGTTTCCCGCACTTCATAAAAAATGGTCAGAAATGGGAAATCAGTGCAGGAAGTTTTAATATCTGGTGTAGAAAAACCTATGATTGAAGAATTCTTAGAGCAAATTGAATTTACAGGAAAAAGCTCAGAAATGGAGATTAGTGAAACTTACTTTAGAAGGAAAACAAGACGTTATGGGGATGATGAAAAGTCTCAGCAGACATTTTTAAAAGACCAGTCTGATTTAAAACTGAGATTCGATGAAGCCGTTGAGGGAATTTCAGAACGTTGGTCAGGAAATATTGAAAAGATATTAAGAAATATCCCAAACAAAGCTGAAAGTTCACAAAAGATTTTCACCAGCAAGTCTTGAACTATATCCTGATATTGGGGACGTCGATATACCTATAGAAAATCCGATAAAAGCGGGAAGAGACAAATAATAAAAGATGACAAAGCTATAAAAGGCGTTGCAGGTGAACAGTATGGAACGAATGAGAATTATTCGCAAGACACTAAGATTGATGCAACAAAAAAGAGCATGGTTTCCTGGAAGTTGACAAACAGTATGGAGAAAAAAGATGATACAAATCAATATTTCCACCTTAATCGTCCAAGTAAAAATCAGATGTGGCCTAAGGAAAGGAAGAGAGGTGCTAGTGGTGCTGAAGAATCAAATTCCGATGATAAATATTTATTAGCAGCATAATGCCCTTTTAAATCCTACAGAAATAGCAATAAGCTTAATACCTATTGGACTGAGAAACAAAGAGATGTTAGAAAAACACTTGAAAGAAGAGTTGAATTGTAAGCATAATGAAACTGAACGTAATGCTGTTGAAATCTTGCAGATGCAATTGGAGAAATGTGTAAAAAAGGAGATATGTGAAGTAGGACAACAATAATTGTCAAGACATGGAGTTGTATTAAGGGGTAGGAAGGGAAGTCAAAGGATGGAAAGACTGCAACTGAAGTCGGGAAAGACTAACTGGGGAAGACATTCAAGATGTAGTAATACGACTAGAGGAGGGAAAAACGCTTAAGAGACAGAGGGTGTTCTGGGAACATCTGTTGAGGACAGGTAAGAATGCAAACAGAGTAGATATTAAATGAGCATATATACATTAGGTGAAAAACTCATATCAAAGTACTTTCGGAAATACAATATTTTAGGACAAAAGAGCTTGGGGACAAAGAAGACAGCAATTTTGCAACATGAAATACTTGTCGAACAGAAGAAGTCTGTAGATACAACATCACCAGAAGCCATGAAAAGAAGTCAAGAAAAAAGTGTTGAAGGGATATCAATTGTAGAACGACAGAATGTGGAAGAAAAGCCCATTGTATCTGAAAATGATAGGCACAAAACAATTAGTGAAAGAGTTTATATTGAGCAACCTGAATTAAAAGACTTGAAAGAAGCTGGATTAAAACCACCTGAAATGGTGTTAGAAAGCATTGTTTCAATGAAGCATGGACAAGACGCTAATACAATGCAGTACGAAACGTTAAATATTCATCCAGATCTAATAATATCTGAAATCCCAAAGCAAGGAGATTTGAAACAGTATGGAATTGAGACTGAAGGCACCTTTGAAAGCAGTGAAACTTCTGAAGACGGATTTTTTAGCCTCGCCGAAAAGATGGGCATAGCTTCAACAAGTGTGATTACCATTCCTGCGGCTTTAGCAACAACAGAAATTGCATCTGCCTATGAATGTGTTATGGAAAAACATCAGCAGAGTTTAGCAGATTCTGAACTAGAAGATAATATGTTCAATGTAAAAAAACGTACAACAACATATGGAACAGAATCAGAAATCCCTGCAAACGGTCTTGAAGTTGAGGTAAAAAAAGTAAGACTGTTCGAAAATATTATTATACCTGATGAAAGAGTCGAGGAATACGGTTCGGTAATATCTAAAACACCAACTACAGAGGAAAGACATGTAAGTGATATGAAATCTCCGGGAGAGTCAGAAATTGTGGATCAGTTACGTAAAACGGAAGATTTGGTAGAAACTGAAATAAAATCGTTCGAAGATATTATACCTGATGAAAGGAATTTCGAGGAATACGGTGCCATGATATCTAAAACACCAACTACAGAGGGAAAACATGTAACTGATATGAAATCTCCGACAGAGTCAGAAATTGTGGATCAATTACGTAAAACGGAAGATTTGGTAGAAACTGAAACAAAATCGTTCGAAGATATTATACCTGATGAAAGGAATTTCGAGGAATACGGTTCGGTAATATCTAAAACACCAACTACAGAGGAAAGACATGTAACTGATATGAAATCTCCGACAGAGTCAGAAATTGTGGATCAATTACGTAAAACGGAAGATTTGGTAGAAACTGAAACAAAATCGTTCGAAGATATTATACCTGATGAAAGGAATTTCGAGGAATACGGTTCGGTAATATCTAAAACACCAACTACAGAGGAAAGACATGTAACTGATATGAAATCTCCGACAGAGTCAGAAATTGTGGATCAATTACGTAAAACGGAAGATTTGGTAGAAACTGAAACAAAATCGTTCGAAGATATTATACCTGATGAAAGGAATTTCGAGGAATACGGTTCGGTAATATCTAAAACACCAACTACAGAGGAAAACATGTAACTGATATGAAATCTCCGACAGAGTCAGAAATTGTGGATCAATACGTAAACGGAAGATTTGGTAGAAACTGAAACAAATCGTTCGAAATATTATACTGATGAAGGAATTTCGAGGATACGGTGGATATCTAAACACCAACTACAGAAGAAACATGTAACTGATATGAAATCTCCGACAGAGTCAGAAATTGTGGATCAATTACGTAAAACGGAAGATTTGTAGAAACTGAAACAAAATCGTTCGAAGATATTATACCTGATGAAAGAATTTCGAGGATACGGTTCCAATATCTAAAACACCAACTACAGAGGAAAAACATGTAACTGATATGAAATCTCCGACAGAGTCAGAAATTGTGGATCAATTACGTAAAACGGAAGATTTGGTAGAAACTGAAACAAAATCGTTCGAAGATATTATACCTGATGAAAGGATTTCGAGGAATACGGTTCGGTAATATCTAAAACACCAACTACAGAGGAAAGACATGTAACTGATATGAAATCTCCGACAGAGTCAGAAATTGTGGATCAATTACGTAAAACGGAAGATTTGGTAGAAACTGAAACAAAATCGTTCGAAGATATTATACCTGATGAAAGGAATTTCGAGGAATACGGTGCCATGATATCTAAAACACCAACTACAGAGGGAAAACATGTAACTGATATGAAATCTCCGACAGAGTCAAAAATTGTGGATCAATTACGTAAAACGGAAGATTTGGTAGAAACTGAAACAAAATCGTTCGAAGATATTATACCTGATGAAAGGAATTTCGAGGAATACGGTTCCGTAATATCTAAAACACCAACTACAGAGGAAAAACATGTAACTGATATGAAATCTCCGACAGAGTCAGAAATTGTGGATCAATTACGTAAAACGGAAGATTTGGTAGAAACTGAAACAAAATCGTTCGAAGATATTATACCTGATGAAAGGAATTTCGAGGAATACGGTTCGGTAATATCTAAAACACCAACTACAGAGGAAAGACATGTAACTGATATGAAATCTCCGACAGAGTCAGAAATTGTGGATCAATTACGTAAAACGGAAGATTTGGTAGAAACTGAAACAAAATCGTTCGAAGATATTATACCTGATGAAAGGAATTTCGAGGAATACGGTTCGGTAATATCTAAAACACCAACTACAGAGGAAAGACATGTAACTGATATGAAATCTCCGACAGAGTCAGAAATTGTGGATCAATTACGTAAAACGGAAGATTTGGTAGAAACTGAAACAAAATCGTTCGAAGATATTATACCTGATGAAAGGAATTTCGAGGAATACGGTTCGGTAATATCTAAAACACCAACTACAGAAGAAAGACATGTAACTGATATGAAATCTCCGACAGAGTCAGAAATTGTGGATCAATTACGTAAAACGGAAGATTTGGTAGAAACTGAAACAAAATCGTTCGAAGATATTATACCTGATGAAAGGAATTTCGAGGAATACGGTTCCGTAATATCTAAAACACCAACTACAGAGGAAAGACATGTAACTGATATGAAATCTCCGACAGTGTCAGAAATTGTGGATCAATTACGTAAAACGGAAGATTTGGTAGAAACTGAAACAAAATCGTTCGAAGATATTATACCTGATGAAAGGAATTTCGAGGAATACGGTTCGGTAATATCTAAAACACCAACTACAGAGGAAAGACATATAACTGATATGAAATCTCCGACAGAGTCAGAAATTGTGGATCAATTACGTAAAACGGAAGATTTGGTAGAAACTGAAACAAAATCGTTCGAAGATATTATACCTGATGAAAGGAATTTCGAGGAATACGGTGCCATGATATCTAAAACACCAACTACAGAGGAAAGACATGTAACTGATATGAAATCTCCGACAGAGTCAGAAATTGTGGATCAATTACGTAAAACGGAAGATTTGGTAGAAACTGAAACAAAATCGTTCGAAGATATTATACCTGATGAAAGGAATTTCGAGGAATACGGTGCCATGATATCTAAAACACCAACTACAGAGGAAAGACATGTAACTGATATGAAATCTCCGACAGAGTCAGAAATTGTGGATCAATTACGTAAAACGGAAGATTTGGTAGAAACTGAAACAAAATCGTTCGAAGATATTATACCTGATGAAAGGAATTTCGAGGAATACGGTTCGGTAATATCTAAAACACCAACTACAGAGGAAAGACATGTAACTGATATGAAATCTCCGACAGAGTCAGAAATTGTGGATCAATTACGTAAAACGGAAGATTTGGTAGAAACTGAAACAAAATCGTTCGAAGATATTATACCTGATGAAAGGAATTTCGAGGAATACGGTTCCGTAATATCTAAAACACCAACTACAGAGGAAAGACATGTAACTGATATGAAATCTCCGGGAGAGTCAGAAATTGTGGATCAGTTACGTAAAACGGAAGATTTTGTAGAAACTGAAACAAAATCGTTCGAAGATATTATACCTGATGAAAGGAATTTCGAGGAATACGGTGCCATGATATCTAAAACATCAACTACAGAGGAAAGACATGTAACTGATATGAAATCTCCGACAGAGTCAGAAATTGTGGATCAATTACGTAAAACGGAAGATTTGGTAGAAACTGAAACAAAATCATTCGAAGATATTATACCTGATGAAAGGAATTTCGAGGAATACGGTTCCGTAATATCTAAAACACCAACTACAGAGGAAAGACATGTAACTGATATGAAATCTCCGACAGAGTCAGAAATTGTGGATCAATTACGTAAAACGGAAGATTTGGTAGAAACTGAAACAAAATCGTTCGAAGATATTATACCTGATGAAAGGAATTTCGAGGAATACGGTGCCATGATATCTAAAACATCAACTACAGAGGAAAGACATGTAACTGATATGAAATCTCCGACAGAGTCAGAAATTGTGGATCAATTACGTAAAACGGAAGATTTGGTAGAAACTGAAACAAAATCATTCGAAGATATTATACCTGATGAAAGGAATTTCGAGGAATACGGTTCGGTAATATCTAAAACACCAACTACAGAGGAAAGACATGTAACTGATATGAAATCTCCGACAGAGTCAGAAATTGTGGATCAATTACGTAAAACGGAAGATTTTGTAGAAACTGAAACAAAATCGTTCGAAGATATTATACCTGATGAAAGGAATTTCGAGGAATACGGTTCGGTAATATCTAAAACACCAACTACAGAGGAAAGACATGTAACTGATATGAAATCTCCGACAGAGTCAGAAATTGTGGATCAATTACGTAAAACGGAAGATTTGGTAGAAACTGAAACAAAATCGTTCGAAGATATTATACCTGATGAAAGGAATTTCGAGGAATACGGTGCCATGATATCTAAAACACCAACTACAGAGGGAAAACATGTAACTGATATGAAATCTCCGACAGAGTCAAAAATTGTGGATCAATTACGTAAAACGGAAGATTTGGTAGAAACTGAAACAAAATCGTTCGAAGATATTATACCTGATGAAAGGAATTTCGAGGAATACGGTGCCATGATATCTAAAACACCAACTACAGAGGAAAGACATGTAACTGATATGAAATCTCTGACAGAGTCAAAAATTGTGGATCAATTACGTAAAACGGAAGATTTGGTAGAAACTGAAACAAAATCGTTCGAAGATATTATACCTGATGAAAGGAATTTCGAGGAATACGGTGCCATGATATCTAAAACACCAACTACAGAGGAAAGACATGTAACTGATATGAAATCTCTGACAGAGTCAAAAATTGTGGATCAATTACGTAAAACGGAAGATTTGGTAGAAACTGAAACAAAATCGTTCGAAGATATTATACCTGATGAAAGGAATTTCGAGGAATACGGTGCCATGATATCTAAAACACCAACTACAGAGGAAAGACATGTAACTGATATGAAATCTCCGACAGAGTCAGAAATTGTGGATCAATTACGTAAAACGGAAGATTTGGTAGAAACTGAAACAAAATCGTTCGAAGATATTATACCTGATGAAAGGAATTTCGAGGAATACGGTGCCATGATATCTAAAACACCAACTACAGAGGAAAGACATGTAACTGATATGAAATCTCCGACAGAGTCAGAAATTGTGGATCAATTACGTAAAACGGAAGATTTGGTAGAAACTGAAACAAAATCGTTCGAAGATATTATACCTGATGAAAGGAATTTCGAGGAATACGGTGCCATGATATCTAAAACATCAACTACAGAGGAAAGACATGTAACTGATATGAAATCTCCGACAGAGTCAGAAATTGTGGATCAATTACGTAAAACGGAAGATTTGGTAGAAACTGAAACAAAATCATTCGAAGATATTATACCTGATGAAAGGAATTTCGAGGAATACGGTTCGGTAATATCTAAAACACCAACTACAGAGGGAAAACATGTAACTGATATGAAATCTCCGACAGAGTCAAAAATTGTGGATCAATTACGTAAAACGGAAGATTTGGTAGAAACTGAAACAAAATCGTTCGAAGATATTATGCCTGATGAAAGGAATTTCGAGGAATACGGTGCCATGATATCTAAAACACCAACTACAGAGGAAAGACATGTAACTGATATGAAATCTCTGACAGAGTCAAAAATTGTGGATCAATTACGTAAAACGGAAGATTTGGTAGAAACTGAAACAAAATCGTTCGAAGATATTATACCTGATGAAAGGAATTTCGAGGAATACGGTGCCATGATATCTAAAACACCAACTACAGAGGAAAGACATGTAACTGATATGAAATCTCTGACAGAGTCAAAAATTGTGGATCAATTACGTAAAACGGAAGATTTGGTAGAAACTGAAACAAAATCGTTCGAAGATTATACCTGATGAAAGGAATTTCGAGGAATACGGTGCCATGATATCAAACACCAACTACAGAGGAAAGACATGTAACTGATATGAAATCTCTGACAGAGTCAAAAATTGTGGATCAATTACGTAAAACGGAAGATTTGGTAGAAACTGAAACAAAATCGTTCGAAGATATTATACCTGATGAAAGGAATTTCGAGGAATACGGTGCCATGATATCTAAAACACCAACTACAGAGGAAAGACATGTAACTGATATGAAATCTCCGACAGAGTCAGAAATTGTGGATCAATTACGTAAAACGGAAGATTTGGTAGAAACTGAAACAAAATCGTTCGAAGATATTATACCTGATGAAAGGAATTTCGAGGAATACGGTGCCATGATATCTAAAACACCAACTACAGAGGAAAGACATGTAACTGATATGAAATCTCCGACAGAGTCAGAAATTGTGGATCAATTACGTAAAACGGAAGATTTGGTAGGAACTGAAGGCGGACCTTTCGATGATAATATATCAGACAGAGAGATTCTGGGAGAGCGCGGTGCAATGATATGTAATGAAGGAACCACAAAAGGACATACTGAAATGGAGAGGTGGAGAGACCTGCAGAAAACCCATTTATGCAGAATGGGAGATTTGGAAGAAGCTGAAGGAGAACCGTTCGAAGATATTATGCAGGGTGAAAAGATTCTTGAGGACTACGCTATCTCAGGGTATGAATTTGCATCGATTAAAGAAAAACCTGTTTCACCTTGGAATGCTAGGTGTGAAGCTGATAAACCCATGAAGCAATATGGAAACATGTACGTGACAGACTCAGAAAGTGAACATCTCCAATCAAAAGTGGTGAAGTCTGCGAGGAATGCAACAGAAGTAGCAATACCTATTGTTCTTGCTAAATTCCGAATGTCAGAGGTCCGTGGTGTCGATGGAGATGAGAAAGATATGCAGATGATTAGCGAAACAGCTTCTTCTGAGACTAGACGGGTCGTTCTAGAGCGGATGCAGTCTCAGGTTAATGATGTGAGTGAAGAGAGAAGTCCCGTGGAAAGCAATGACAGGGTAGCAAAAGGAGATGTTTGTACAAAAGAACAAGTTACACTTCCTGCTAAAGCACCAGCAACAGAGTGTTTGAAACAGGAATGTGCTGATCATACACTTGTACCAGCTGTGGAAAGAGAAAATAGGCTTGTTGAGATATACAAAACAACAGTGTCTGAACATGAAATTTTGCAACCGCTGGAAAACGTACAACATCAACCTTTTATGAAGAAAGATCTTGAGGAAACAGAAACGAAACAATTTGAGAGTGTGGTCTCGGAGTGTCATTTTTCCCAGAGCTACGATTTCTCAGTAGCCAAAGAAATAATTATAGGAGAATGTAAAAAGCCCTTAAGGAATGAAAGCGGATATCCTGATACTTCGGTAGAGATGTTTAGAAAAAATCTGGAGGGAACCGGAACCCGAAAATCCGAAGATATTTTACAGCAGGAATGCGGTGCTTCACTACTTAAAGAATTAGTAAAGGAGGAAAAACTTACAGTAATTCATGGAAAAGAACAAAAATATGCGGTACCGCAAGCAGGAGAAAAGAAGCATTTACCCTTTAATGAAAGAGAATCTGAAGAAAGTGCTTGTACTTTACAAAAAGATATTGAGAATCAGCAATCGGAGATGGAACACTCTGAAGGATTTAAAGTAAAACTATTCAAGGAAGAAATCTCAAAGAATATGAAATCTGAAGGAATAAAATTTGGAAGAGTGGTATCTCAGAAATTTGTAGAAGAGATGAAGGGTGATAAATGGGATAGCGTTGGATTTGCTAAGGAACTTGTTAAAGGACAGATTGTAGGAGAAACCCCAGATGTTATTGGTTCTTGGAACTATAAGGAAACTGGATTTTCCAGAGAAATTTCTAGTGATATAGCTGAAGTGAAAGGAAGTGCTAGAGATGAGGAAGCATTTTTGCTAAAAATACAATCTGAAATAGAAGATAGACAACGAACTACTGAATTTGCAGTAACGAAAAACAAGGAAGAATGTATAGACACGGGACCATTTCAAAGTGACATGCTGTTTTCAAGTGATGTTTCGTTTGCAGATTTGGTATTTGCTGATCCGCTACATGGAACAGATGATACAACTGGAACTGAGATGGAGCAATTGAAGACAGAAAGCAGAGATTTACAAAAAATGGGTAAGTTAATATCTAACTTGACAACAGAACAACTACCGATGAAAGAAAAGGAAACTGTGAGATTGAGCAAAGAAGAAATCACACCGCAACAAATGCAGGAATCTCTAATAAAAATACAGGGAGATGTGGAAAATTTGGTGATGTATCAATCAGAACAAAGCATCATTTGCAAAGGATTGAGACCAGTTGCAGGAACTGAAAAGATTAAAGAAGAGAGTCAATCCAAGTTTTATTCAATAACTGCTGCATTCGAGCAACCTAGATCAGGATCACCGAAAAAGAAGGATTTTGAAAGAGTATTTTATAAGTCTGGTGCGTTCTTGGATTACGTCCAAGAATACAAGGATAACATAAAGGATGTGGAATACAGTAAGACAAATAGCGATGCAGATGCGGAGGATAGAAACGAATTATGTGTGGAGGAAGAACAACGGTGGACAGATGAAAAAAAGCTTTTGAAGTCTGCAGAAGAAACTGGAACGGTTGCTAAAGAAATTATTTTGACACCTGATACATTGACGACTTTTGATACAACAAAAATTTGTGATCACGATGTAAAAAGCGATATAAGAGAGACACCGATTGAACAACTTCCTGATACAGATTATCTACAGCTTATGCCGTTAATAACTACTAGGCAGTATGTTGAAGCTGCAGTGATGCAAGGAATGGTAGCAGAAGAAGGAATTATCAAAAAAGAAATTGTTTATGACCCAGCTAAGAATCTGAATGAACCAGTACTAAAAGATGAAGAAGAGAGAATAGGCAGAATAACTGGATCATCTGCAGTTGAGACTTTAGATCGGGAACGTTTGATAAATATGAATTTCCAATCTTCAGCTGACCAGAATTCTGTTTTTATCTCTTCAGATATGCAAATGGATACTTCATTTCTGGAAAAGATATCTGAAAAGAATTGTGGGAATGAAGTTTTAATAGAAAGCGTTGACGAAAATGTGCAAATAGGGACATTTTTTAAGGAAAACATGAGGAAAGAAGTGCCAGAAAATAATGAATTTCAACCGATGGTACCATCGACCAAAAGTGTAGAAGAAGGAGTGACACTAAAGACTGGAATGGCAGGAAGTAAAGAGAGAAGTTTAGCTGAACTGATGACAGAAGAAGGAACATCTTATGAAGTTGACTTGGACGGAAAAAGTCATCTAATCATGGATCATAAATCACGTGTGGACGAAAGAACGAAATCCTCAGCAGAAGATAAGTATCCTTATGAACTAACTGTTGATATATCATGGGCTTTAGAAGAAAAAGATGACCCCGATGCGGAAACAGAAGTAGAAAAACAAAAATCTTCCTACATGGAGCAAGTAATAACATACCCTAGCGACGATACACTTAATGTTATAACGGAAGAAAGAGTAACTGGAAGTATAGCAAAAAAATGTAAAGATTCAAGCATATCTTTTAAGCTAAATGGCGATAGCAATAAAAGTTCTGCGAAGCTCGAGTCTATGAAATGGGAAAAACTAACGGACGGATTTGAAATGACTTCAGAAAAACTGAAAATGAAGGGACTGATGGGAGAATCAGTGGTGAAAGCAGAAAAGGTAACATTTGAGCACAATAAAGGATTTGTAATTAAGATACCTAGAACAGATAAAGAGGAAAGTGAATCATTCTTCATACATCATTTTGAACCAAAGGAATATCACATGAAGTCTTCTGAAATCATCACTGCAGTGGAGTCAACGACCACACAAAAATGGCTAGGAGCTGAAAAAGAAAGTCAAGAAGATCTTATCATTCAGAGACGGCAAATATCAGAGCTAAGTAGAGATGAGAAATTAGAAAATGTTGATGCAAAAGCATTAGCGATGATGAATAATCAAAAAGAGTATGAGAAGAGATTAATAACCATGGAAGGTGATCACGAGTTAAATGAAAAAGCAGAAATAGCACAGAACCTTGAAAAATTAAAAATTTACGGTAGCGATGGTATGATGCCTCAACAGCCTGCTGGAAATGATAAGAAGTCGTGCTTATTAAAAAGATCCTCTGAACAGTTGATTACTAAACATGAATTAATGACTTCATTTCAAAAAGGCGAACTGGAGAGAGATATTTCTAATAAAAAGATTACTTCAAGTTCGTGTGAGCTGTCGAGAGAGGAACAGAGAAACATAGCTTCAGAGGCATTTCTAGATACTATCGAAATTTGTTCAATAATTCCCCAGCAAAGGAAAAATGTTCAGATTTTTGCAAAAGAATCTGATAGATATCAGTTTACTGATTTTTTCTTAAGCGATGAAAAAGTGCAAAAAGAAGACAAGTCATTAAGTTACTCTGAAGGACCTAATAGGTTTTCTGTAATAGAGAAAGTAACCTCGGTAGGAAAGGAATCCTTTAAAGATTTCTTTGTTTCTGCTGAAGCATCGAGAAGTGGAGCAACAAGTATTCTTGAAGCTTCAGGAGTTTCATCAGTTTCCCGATCTCTAGAAACAGTTCAGGTGGTCGAAGGTCAGAAAAGTTTTCCCAGAAGTGCTTCATTTGATGTTGCCGACAATAGTATGGAGAAAAAAAGGGAGCAAAAGATATCTCATTATGAGGAATTAGAAGGACACATAAACGCCTCAGTTATTTCAAGTGCAGAAGCTATTGTGGAACGAAATAATGCAAAGGTAATTTACGATGAAGTAACTGGCACGCTTTGGCAACAAGCAGACGGCGACGCAAGCGAGAAAACTTTTTCAAGAAGGCAACTGGAATTAGCAGCAAAAGAAAAAAGTACTGTCCAACTGAAAAATGAACAAAATATAACCCTTTCGAGTGCTTTTGATAGATACTCTGCTGGACAACAAAACTGTCAGAAGTTTACGTTATCAAGAAAGAAAGAAGTGGAGAAAGGCGCATCTTCATCGTTTTTTGCATCAGTGTTCTTAAATTATGCAGAGGACACTCAGATGGAATCATTGCAAAAGGTGGAAAAAAGAACTAAATCACTAGAAGAAACTGCAGTTGTTCCTCAAAAAAAAATCGAAGAAGAGATTTTCATTAATAAATTAAGTCATTCAGTAGGAGAATATTTAGAAACAAAAAAGGATGTGTATGAAATAGGGAGCGTAAGAGATAGTAATAATGGGGGAAAAATGAAAACGATAGCTGAATCTACTTCAGAGTTTGCTTTTGAGGAATCATTGACGCTGACAAAAGCGCCATTAGCAAGGCAAAATATTGGTAAAGGATCATTTGAAACGGATAAGGAAACAAAAATTACTCATGTCATTGATTTAGAAGTGAATGCGGGTTATTTAGTTGGCGAAAGCAAGGGGAAACTAGGTGAAACAGTCAGCAGGAGCAATGTAAGTGAGCAGAGTAATTGCAGCGTAAATTCCTCGATTGGAAAACATTGCAGTAATAAATCACCGCCCAGCGAGGAAAGAACTGCTGCTGAAAAGAGTGTACCCCAAGCTGAACATGAACATGAAGCGGACTATGAATGTGATTTAAAGAAGAAGTTAGAAACGTTTGCAGAAGAAACGAGGAAGTTAAAAAGACACGTAGAAGGATGCAATAGTTTACTTAAGGAATATGAAAGAAATGAGGAAGAGCTTAATATACAGACAACAGTAATGGTTGATGACGTGAAAGCAATAGAAAGCTTATCGCGTAGTGAATCCACCTATAAGACGGCAACGGCTACATCAAGAGATGGTTATGATACATGCCTTACATCCCAAGAGGACACTTTCGAAACAGCTCCTGGCTATCATTCTCAGGAATCTGAGTACACTACAGCAACTAGCGAAGCTAGCAGTAGATTGTCAGTAATGAGTGATGAGTGTAGAGAAAGTGCTACACCGATTGCAATTCTCTCACCAGTACAGTCTGATCGTCTTTTTACTGCATCTCAAGATGAAGAACAAGAACCAAGTAGGCAAGAAAGTAGAGTTATTGATTCAGGACGTTCTAGTCGAGATGTGCCTGATATAGAACTTGTATCTATTGAAGATGAGGATGATATGGGAGAAGGCTTACTGCTAACAACTAGTGGTATTCTACTCGCTCCAGATATGGATCCTGGACGACCTGTTTCCCCAGTTCCTCCGGGTTTCAGTGATGAGGATGAAAGTATTGCTGTTGCTATTGCATCTAATTACTCCAGGAAAGTTGTCGATCAAGCTGGCTTAGCGGAAATTAAAGTTCTTGACTCTATTATAGAAGCTCCAGGAGACGATGCTCTTGCTGATCAGGTATTTTCGTCATGGAAACAAGAAGTACCTAATTTTACAACCTTTCAGGAATCAGTGCATGAAAAAGCAATGGATTTTGAAAAAGAATGTTTCCCACAATATTCATATCTATCTACTGAAAATAAAACGAGTATTGTTCATAGGATCGAAGAAGATGAAATTGCAGATGTTGCATTGTCCTCCGAAGCAATTTTATATACCGAATCTGATTCATTAGATTCTCTTGATAAAATATCAGTTAAAAGTGGAAGCAGTGGTAAGAAATATAGCACATCACGTCGAAGCAGCACCATCTCTCGAAAAGGTTCACATGATGAACCACAAACATTTCTTGAACGACTTACACCAGAGTTGAAAATGTCATGGATAGAAAAGAATCAGGAAGTGGGATCAGCTAAGCAAACTACATTGTCATTATCTGATGAGTATCAAATGTATATGGAAAACGGACAAGTAAATCCAGTAGAAGTGGAGTTAGAGACACTGCATGAAGAGCCGGAAGAAGCGGATTCGTTAAATGGAAGAAGTGCGTCTTTAAATGGTCAGGGAACAGATATCAGTGTAACAGTTGGGAAATACAAAACGGTTTCAAGCGACAATGTCTCCGAAACGAGTTTGCAGGAATTTGAACGAATCGAGCGAGATGTATTAAACAAAGGTGAATCAAGTCTTAGTGGAAGTGAAGCTGAGCTGTACGTAGCCGGGAAATTGAAAACAGCTGATGGTTCAACAAGTTCCTTAGCCGAATTTGAACGACTGGAACAAGAGGTCATAGTCGAAGGTTCCCAACAAGATGAAGCAATGATACTATCCGATATACGTGAAGAGTCGGAGGTCGAAGAGATGAGTATAAGAGACGATGACGAAGAAGAACAGGATTCCATTTCGGATATAAAAGCAATACCAGTTGAAGAAGATATCCAAGTGGCAACACCATTAGCTTCACCAACCGATAGCATTGAAAGGGATTTCGAAAATTTTGTTCCAGAAGCGATGGGAACAAGCATTGATTCTTTAGAAATTAATGCCCCACCACAGAGCGATTTAATAGGTGAACGTTATTTAACTGAATATGAAGTCATTGAAAAAGTACATGAAGGGATGCATGATTCTCTTGAAATAATTCCGCAGGACAAGGATTTTATGCAGAAAGAGGTTGCCATGCGGGAAGTAAGTAAGGATAGGCAAACACTATTGAGTGATGATACGGTGAGTATATATCAAGACCAGGAAGAAAAAGATTCGTTAGCTGGTGATTTGGACACTGTGCTTCATGATTATCCGACCACGCTAACAACGTTTGAAACGATGCAAATCAACGAAGATGGTTCAACAGAAATAATCTCAAGAAAGGTTCTGACTCGTGTCACTGATCCAGTTATTAGTCATGTACAATTTACTGGAACGGAAAATGAGCATCGCTTACGTGATTTGGAACGAGAAGAACAATTTGAAACTGTGGATGTGGAAGGTAACATTACGCGAACAACACTTCATCGCAGTGCTCCTTCATCCTCTGCAGGTATTTTACTTTTAATGTTTTGCATTTTTCAGTTGTTCTTGCATGCAATTTCATGAAACATGCACATGCTCATTGGCATTTATTCATGCTATCTGTTATTAAAGTTAACACCCGCCCTTTAGACACAGCATTTTAACTCATGGATTGTGTTAGATCTTTCAAATTTATGCTTCTGCAAATGTTATGTTTTGTCCAGGCCTGTTTTCCCATCCTATTTAAATAGCTAACTAGTCATAATCTTGCTGTAATCCTATGATTTGTTCGTAATGAAGTAAGACATTTAAACCAAGTTTAAAAGAAATTGTATCTACGAGATCGGTGAGTTGAGCACGGTTTTAGTAATTTTCGCATGTCATTCTAGATCTCTTTAAATAGTCATAGTATTATTTTCGAATACCAAACAGGAAAAAGTTATGGTGTCAAATGCAGATTAATAAAACTGCGAAATATATATTTGTCTTCTACTTTATACCATATCAATTTATTTATAGTTCCAAAAGATCTGAATTTCAATTTATGAAGGTTTATTTAATCGAATACTTCAGTACCTAAAAGATTTAGCATAAATGTTACATGCTGATAATTCCTTGCTACTCAACTAATAAGTTAATCTGTCGCTATCAATATCATCGGTTAATAAAGCAATAAATTGAAATTTAGATTGTTGCTATTCATTAAACTAGCCGTTGTGGAATTAGTTGTTAATTTATTTTGCTTGAATTTCAAGAAAAGCGAACTGCTTCCTCTTAGATAATTATGGATAACGATTATTATATATGATCAAAGCTCAGCCTTTCCCATAATTTTTTAACAACAAAAATTTCATGGGAACAGTGTTGTATTAAAAGTCAATATTTGAGGTTGAACAAATGAAAATACTAAAGCTGTTAGTAATTTTTTGGTTCTCACCAAATATCATTATTCAAATAAACTTTGGTTATAGAGCTGAGAATGCTGCAATTTTTCAGAAGAGTAACAACATTTGTATACTCTAAACTTTTTGTCTCTCTGATCATTTCATTATTTTGTTGCAGGTACTTCGCTTTCAACTCATCGTGGTTGATTTCATTAGCATTCAGAGTGATATTTTTTTTTGTCATCACAATTTTTGCTTGTTCTTGAATTATTTTGCTTTCTTGACATCCCTTTTAAACAACCTTTGTCAGATTGGCATTCTTTTCCCTAAATTTAGCTTTATCAATTGATATGTTTTTTTTTTTTTTCTTTTTCTTTTTTTTTACAGTTATAAACTGCATTGCGCCGGGTTGTGGAGGAATTTTAATACATTCTTGTACTTTTGAATCTTCCAGTTAATAACATCCAAGTGTTTGTAGGATAGTGTTAGGGTAATGGGAATACGAGATTTGGAGTCAATTATTACATTAAATTGGTGTTTATTGGAGTGCTTGATAAAAAAGGTTTTTTTTTTTGGTCCATCATAGAATAAGAAATTTGCTTTACCCTTTGTTTTTGGCGAAAATGACCCAGATTTAAAAATAGTTTTATTAGTTTGAAGTGTAAGAAGCATACTGAAAGTAGAAAATATATATAAGACATAGTTGATTATTTCATATGCATTGCACCAGAGCTGGTCATGTTGCAACTGTTCCTGGGAAATTCTGTTACTTTCCCAGAAGTAATGATAAATATCACTTTACGTATCCATTTCTACTACATAATAAAATTAATTTGGATTTCATTTTTGTTACACCTATTATGAACCAGCATTTGTAGGGTCAAAAGGGACAATCGATATACCTATCCATTAATTTTTCCGGAGCTTTCTGCACTTTATAGCAGGTATTGCTTGATTCTGTTTCAAAGTTTCGAAGATTTATGCACTTCCTTTGCAATATACTTGAATGTTGACAGTTTGCTCCTAAACGGCATTTATTTAAAGGCGCAACTGATAGTTTTGGCTTTCGACTTGAATTCTCTGTTAGCATATTCTAATCAAAATTGAGCGTACAGAGAGTTGTGAATTTGTCATAAAATATCCCACTGTATCTTAATGTCTATAAAATGCATAATTTCGTCCCGTTTTCATTCACTCTGTTTATATCACAAAATGGCTTTTGGCGCCTTATTTCATCCGACAGCTTAAAGAGAGAGAAATGTAACGCGGATTATTACTAACAAGTCATCATGCTGTCAATTTCACGATTGTTTGACAGCTTCTTCTTTATCCCATGGACCTGCGAAGTTTTATGCATGTTTGCAATTCTTAGCAACAGGACTTGTCAACAGCGATTTATCGAATCAGTTTACTAGGAAAAACTGGTGAAGGAATAAGTTAGCACGCGACTGCTGCTAGAACTCTTTGTTCTATACATTGCAATTCTCACTGTGTGTGCATTTATTGTTGTCATGGAAGTCGGTTGTAAATCACTAACCTTAAGTTGAAGTTTCGAAAAAGGTCTTTCCAAGTGAAGAAATTCTTGCAAAAGTAGAAACTTCCAAAAAAATAACTTTTATCTTCATATTACCAGAAAATTAAACGCTAAACACTGCAATTTTAACAGAATTATCAGGCAAAATGACTTTTTTAATAGTTGAAAAAGCAATTCGATAGTGAAAATTTATGAAGAATTTCCTGATTGTTGAAAGATCGAACTAAATTTTTAAATAAAGTAATGAAGGAAACCCATAAATATAGTGAGACGACCGTTAACCTAAAAATACGTTCAATTTTTCCTCAATGTCCGTAAGCAAACCACCCAGAAAACCTGTCAATGAAAAAATGAATTTACTGTGTCAGAGATTATGAAGAATATGCTGTCCCTAGAAGTCCGAAGCGGCTAGGAAGGCTGGCAGACATTATACTGCATTAAGAAAGCGAAAAATGTTTTAGGAAGAATTGTGAACTGCGATGTTGAAGGATAGAGTAAAATATAACTATATATATGTGTGGAGAATTTTAAAAAATTTTATTGTTTTTGGGAGATCTTGCGGACATTCGTTAGATCTTGATATTAATACATAGGTTAACACAGAATTATAGTAATTCCTTTACCAGCGGAATCAACAGTACAATAAATTTGATAGAGAACAATTGAAGCAATGGGAAATCCCTTTTGTGGTCGAACTGCCTCGTGTTTGATATATATATTTATGCCATGACAAAGAAATGATTAAAAACATGTTTAATGAAGCAGTAACATTCACTTTACGCGTATACTACAAGAACAATAATTAATTGGAAATGTAGAGTGGAATGAAACCAGTCTATTCTTTTGGAAACGATTCTTGATATGGTACTCTAAAATTCTATACTTTTAGGAATACGTTACATTGTTAAAAATTTCTTCACATAGCATTGTGTGATTAAATAAATTTCGGAACAGGAAAATGTTAGGATTGATTGAGGACATTGAGAGCAGGCCTATTTATCATCAGCTGCAGAACGTTTATAGTTTCTTATAAGTAGAGCCACCGCTAATCGACCTTCCGTCGTTGTCACCATAGCTATATAATGTAATTGCTGCTTTGTGTTCCTTTCTCTCGTGATGCATGATATTGGGTCGCCGAGATGGGCATGGACAGTACTGAAAACAAATCAATCTCTTTTGAGAGTTTTTTTTTTTTTCAGAAGAGCAGAGACCCCCTAGCAGTACTTCAACTAAGAATACTCTCCATTTCTTAGATTAGCTGAATTCATTGAAGAATAAAAAGGAATACCTCGGCATCTTTTCCAGGCCTTCCTTCTTCGCCTTCAGGTCCTATTGGTCCTTGAGGACCAGGCAGACCAGCAGGGCCAGGGCTTCCTGGTAAACCTTGTGGGCCAGCTTTACCAGTTTGCCCCTCAGCACCTTTATCTCCGGGTGGTCCTGCTGGTCCTAGTGGTCCCCTTGATCCCTTCGAACCAGGACGACCAACTAAATGGTGCATATCTAAACCTCTAGAACCTGGAGGACCCATTTCGCCATCTTTACCTGAAATCGAACCGATGTAAATTATTACAGTGTTATATAAAAGTGAATGAAGTCAGTTGTCGATAAATTTTCGAGTATGAGATGCGAATTGAGAAATATGCCCAAAAAAAAACTTTTGTTATACAATACCAAATAAAATACTAGTTTTTGGGACATATGATTAATTGCCAACAGTGCATTTCGTTTCAACAAAATGATCATTGCACTCACCTATAGGTCCTGCCGATCCAGGTTCACCAGGTGGTCCTGGTTGTCCATTTCTTCCAGGGACACCGCTCTGACCTTTTGCACCTGAGACTCCTCTTAGGCCGGGTTTCCCAACTGCTCCTGGAATACCAGGCAGTCCTCGGGGACAGTGATAACATGGCGCTTCGTGGTGAAGCGGTGACATATTTTCAACATCTTTGCCAGGTTGCCCATCAGTGCCAGGTATACCGTTTAACCCAGTATGTCCTGGTGGACCCTTAGAGCCTGGCAGCCCAACTGGACACGAGTTTCCTTTAGCACATTCTGTAATGATAGTTTGATTAACTGGTAAAAAAAATATGCTAATAGGACAAAAGTTGCCCACATCCTTTTTTCGCTTTTTTGATCAAAAACGAGTAAGCAAAAATGATAGTTATCATAGAGACTACAGAATGATACTTTCAAATGACAACAGTTTTAAGAAAAAAGATCAAGTGGGAATGTGATTTTTCTCCATGAATGAGGAAGTAATTTAATTCTTTAAATTTCTGGATGCTTTTATTAACATCCAACTGATCTATAAAATCCTTGATGACAACTAAAAACCGGATCTAAGTGAGAATGACTTTATCGTTAATCAATAAAAGTAAATTTACTGCAAATATCGGTTAATTGTGGTCCACTCGGCGGAGAACCTTTTGTTTTTTGTTCGCCATCTATATTGGGTAAAGATGAACCGGTAACCGGCTTGAAAAATTGATCAAGTCCTTTATTTCTGTCGCCAGTTGACTTGAACTTGTACAACTCCAGCAAAGTACTGTCAGTGCTAGAAGGTGGAACTGATGTGCGAGAATCGTGCTGACCTTCAGTGTTGCTAGTAACTAACGATGCTTTGTTGTGGGAGATTTCTGCAACAATAAGGTGAAATAATTACAATCCAACAAGTGTTCTTGAACCTGTAGTTGTGTAATTTGCCTTTTTGTGATGCTTTAAAAGCTTAAGAAAAATTAGAGGATGTAGTGTTTTTTTTTTTTTTATTACGTTTTTTAATCACTTATAGAAGATGAAACCGGAACTCTTGGATATCGATTACTGTACTACTGACATCCTCCGGTATTTCCATGATAATAAGTAATATTCCAAATTCATTTTGTTCTGCTTTCTTCCCGCAAAGAGCGAAAAGCGCTGTTTAATAATAATTTAAAACCCTCGCTTCTCAGAAGAATAAGGATAAAGGAAGAATTTCTATATGTCCACTTTAGTTTTATATGAAATTTCTTTGTTTCTCTTTTTTTTTAAAAGATCGGATTTGCTTTTTACAGTTTTTCCTGTTCACATATATCTTATAAAATCATTTAATAATATGAAAATTAAAGTGAGATTCAACCGAATATCTATTCCTGATTTTTACGTTGCATACTTTCGTGTTAAATCACTCTATATCCCCATGTTTCTTTCCTCCCAATGTCAACAGGGTAAACTGTGAAAAGATAATTTATCCTGCTATTTCTATTTTAGCCATTGAGATGTAAAAAATTTCTAATAGAACACCTGCATAATTAACTCTACATTAGGTAAGCTAACAGTTGTAATGCCCAGTTGCGATGATGGAAAATAATTTGCTATTGAGGAAATACGTCCTGTTAAAATTGCATTAAAGAAAATATTCTCGAGAACACTTTGAATAGTAAGTAGTTGTATCATGGATATTTACCAGTAGGGTGATTTCCATATTCATGGATACTATCTGAACCTTTCTCATTGTGTCTCCTTTGACGCCCTTTTGAAGGATTTTGTCCAAGTATTATCAAATCGTTCCATAAATCATCAGTGATTACCTATAAAGCACTTCTAAATCTCGTTTTATAAAGTGTACGTTGTTCAGTCGACCATATATGAAAAAGATAAAGAGACAAAGAACTGCAAACTTTATACTGTGACATGACTGTTGAAACATTAAAGTAACTGAAATTAGTTGAGAAGCACAAGACTGAAGTAAAATATAATACTTTGAAGTGATGCATTTCGGTGTCCAATGATTTGTAAGCGTCCTGAATATCCCATTTGATGTACACCATTGCAATAAGACATACAGTCAGCATACAAGCGCTCAGGGCAGACACTGTAAAAGTAATAGGAGGGACGCGAAACATCCTTGTCAAATACAGAATCTCCAAAAATTTATTCCTTATATTTGAATTCTCCATGGGCGGTTTATACTATTAGGTCAATAATCAGTGAAGGTTGGCAACGACAGAACATCACATCGACGGTTCAATGGTGACTTTTCAGTATTGTCCACCATTTTTATAAAATTATATTGCATTTTATCATCACTTTTAGTGCTATAACTAGAGATATGGTAAACTTTGCTTAGAAATAATACATTTATATTTTAACTGCAGTGAGTACTTCAATATCTAGCATTAATTTGGTTCTTGAATTCCTGAACTCGGAATTCTAATTCTAAAACTATTTACCGCATTTTTTTAGTCAACAAAAACTTTTTTTGAGAAATGAAAACAACTTCACCCTAAGAAATACGAATGAAAAAATTTTGGAATAATTATTTTTAATTTCTCTAAATACTGTGTTTTTCTTAGTCACTTAATTTACCCTTCTGTCATCAAGTATAACTTATTAACAAAACAATCAATAACTGTTATTTAAAGTCCTTTTTATCATCTTCTGTTTTGTTGTGTGTTACTGCTACTCTTTTTACGTAGCTCTTCTTTCCTCGAAATTTTGTTGCGGATTTTTTTTTTCAAATTAAATAATTTAACAAACTGTCCGGTAAATTTAATTCATCGAAAAAGTCAGCTAAATAAATTAAGTAAATTAAATAAATAAATAAATATATACATATATAAGGCTCATTTCTAACGTTGATTTCCTGTCTCACTAATATTAGTTTTCAAATCATTAAAAATACCACAGTCCTTGCAGACAAGCAGATATTACAGAAAATTTAAAAAAACTATTGCTACTTATCATTTTGGGCTTATTGTTAATTTTTTTCTTATCTCGTAAGTGTGGTAAACTTTAGATTAGAAATTTCAAGATTAAAAAAAGCACAGCTTTCATGCATGAGAAAGTGCCCAATTTTATTAACAGTACAATTAAAACTGCAAATACAGTTGCCAGTACCAAACATCGGAGCGATGACATTTTTTGATTTATTTCATAAAATATCTGTGATGAATGTCAGTATCAAAATTAATGTTGATTTTTGGCATCGCTTAGGAACAATTCAATATAGTTCTTAAAAAATCAAATGAAACGAATGGGATGATCTATGAAAAAGTTTCACTTTCAAATTATTGTCTTAAATATTAAAGTCATTTATTAGGCGTTATAAAAGTTATAAAAGTCTTATGGCCTATCCAAATGTTACTAAAAATTCAAATTGTATATATATATATATATATATATATATATATATATTTTTTTTTGACCACTGCGTTTCCGCTCAGCTTCGAATTATTATTTGTGTATGTATCGGAGAAGTCGGTAAAAATTGCTTAGTCGAAAGGTTCACATTAATCAAAGTGTCATTGCTCCCCCTCCTCATCATTTATTCATTCTAACTACTTCACATTCCTGCATCATTTAGAGCAATTATCCTTTGAATCAGCCGATTGTCACTAACACTACAGAAAACACAAAGGATCGCCACATACCCCAATGACATTTTCTGCAACATTTTGATGCATTTCATTCTTTATAAGAGCACATTGTGCTTTATAAAATCAGCCGACTATTCATTCTAAATTTGGAGAAGAAAAGGAGAAAGTGATTACACTGAACTGTTAAGATAGATCAATAGAGCATTCGTCCTTCATTTACAAATTCGTTCGTAGTCGTCGACAGGAACAAGCAATATCCTCTTTGAATCAGCCGATAACTTACTGTGTCACCCATATACCCCAATGACATTTTCTCAAACATTTTGATGTATGTCATTCTCTATAAGACACTCCTGGTATGAAAAAACTGAAAAAACTATTGTGAGTTTCGCAGTTTTCTAAAACATACTACTCGTGATAACTAATTTAAAATCATACTACATCATTACAACAAGTAAGCTGCGCTATATGGGTTTGCAGGACTTCTATTAATAAGTACTCATTTGACGAAATACGGAACTGAGTAACTTCTGAAGTTCTTACTCATCCTTCATCACTCAAAAGTTATTTTCAACACTCCTGGTACTTAGCATTAGCACATAAGCTTATATTAATATTAACCTGTCTTTGCTGTCTTTCTGATAAGTACATTTATGAATGATTGCCTTTCACGTTTGCTTTTTTTTTGTAACAGTAAAACTTGTTAAATTTTTGGGGAGAGCTAGTGTTTTAAATTTTTCTCCCAGAAATCGAAATATCGATCTATAAAATTTAGTGTTCTTGATTCGTCCGGTGCAACATAAATATTGCTAAAGATTTAAAAAAAACCGCTTAAATAAACAAATACCAGCAAGATATATAAGCAGAAAAATCTATCCACTCTTCTATAATTTCTAGAAAAACATATTGTATTTCGGAAATTTTCAAAAACAGATTTTTACTAGTGCATTTTGCAATATCAGTTTACATGGATAGGAAGATAACTGATTGTGTTTAAAAAAAAAAAAAAAGAACGACTTATATGTTTCCTGTAGCATCAGTGTAAACCGAAAGGAAGCTCTGCCAAGAACCACGAAACAGATTTTTTTGCCGAGATGTCAAATAGGGTTTCTATTATCTGCCCTAATCTCTAATATTTCAAGTTTCTATGCTGATTTGACCACAAAGTGGTCAAATATTAAGAAAAGTGACAAAGAGAGATAAATTTAATGATAATAAAAGAGGTGCTCCATGATTTCATTAACCTATGAGTGAGAAAATAATTTTATGAAAATTATTAGCTGAAATACCTCAATGAATTTAAAAAAAAAAAATATCCATCCGGTAGTGAATATGGTTGCTGCAATCAGTGAGAGACACTTTATAAAAGATACGAACATACATTTACTACTAAACTGCCAATAACTATTGTACTGATAATAATACTTCTAGTGCACTTCACTGTGTACCACTCCTCGATAAATCAGTAACAAGACCGTTAGCTCATTAAATTATTTCTACGATTGTTGTAAGAATAAGATGATTATGGTGAACCCACTTCAGCGTAAAATCAGTCCGAAATATCAAAACTTAAATACCTTTATAATCTTTATATCTCTTCTTTATAATTTTTATCAAATTCACATTCTTAGTAGATCACTTAACAATTAATTTCGAAGACACCGAATCCGATCTGCTAAAACTTTACCTACCTAATTTTCAAAAAAAAAAAAAAAAAAAGAAATCAACTGGAATAAAGACCATGAACTGTCCTGGTACTAATGATCAAAACTGTAGGTGTTAATCACCTCTAATTTTCTGGAGGAATTCTCATATAAATAAAAGTAAGCTCTGATGTAATCAATTTACTTATTTATGACGTAAATTCCTGGTAAATCTTGAATTAGCAAGTGATCCGTTTAAGCCCAAAATATTAGTCTAAGAATGTAATATACAGGGAATGCTTTATCCACCGACAACCACTATGATTCAAAAAAAAAATTTTATGGATACCTTTAAGTAGAATATTGTCGAGCACCGAACAAAACCATCTTCCCTAGAAAAACGATAACTTTATAAACAATTAAAAAAAGTACTGATTCGACAAGGAGTCTGTTTTTATATCCTTTAAAAAATGTCAACATATACGCTTTAAAAATATTTGTTATTTTGAAACACAATTTAATTCAGATGAGAGAAATACCTGCTTGACGATAATCACGTATAGAACAGTGAAACTGCCTTTTACGTTACAGGTGCAATACAGTACAGGACAATCCATGAAGTATGTCATATATTCTTTCACAAATGATAGACTTATTAAGAATGCTTAATTGTACTAGGAGTAGTCGAACAATATTTTTGCTAAAAACTGTTTGATCAGTGGACAGCCGTTGATTTCAAACACAAAGCAAGCTATTGCAACAATGCCTAAGAAATAAAAAAAACTGATAAGTTATTGATATTGTGTATTATCAGACAAATAATGTGAAAGCTGCAGTTTGTCACAGGACAATCAGAGTTTGTTCAGCATCATCTAAAGTGATTCATCTACGAATTTAAATCTTTAAATACATGGAAAGTCGAAAAATCCTGAAGAAAATATCATTCGGGATAGAAACCCTAGAAAGTCATGGGAAGCGCGGACATCACTTCTCATGCGTAATTTTTGTATACTAAACATTTTCCTGCTCTCATAAACAAATCTATCTTAGTAAAATATTCTTCACTTTCCTTAACAATAATAGCTACTTCTTCAAATATAATTTTGAAGTTATTTGTTTGTTTGCTAAAATGACTGGCATATTTCAAGAATAAGTTTCGAAATTGTAGATTTTCCAATAAAAAAGAATGGATTTATAATAACTTTGAAGAGCAAAGCAAGTAAATTACTTATACACTTCAACTGCAGTTTAATATTAACCAAAGTATTTGTATTCACTTACCCTGGAATGATGAGCTAACGGCATGGGAACGTAAGTGGCAGGGAAGCAGTAATATAAAACATATTCAGGCAATCAGTTATTTCTTGAAGATATTTGACTTATTAAAAATATAAGTATTCCGGTTCATGTCCTTTTGAATCACATCCTCAAAAAGACTAAAATCTTTATAAAGCAAACTGGGTTTATATATTATGGAATGATTCTTTATCTTATTTATCCTTATTATCTTCATATGCATTGCAACAAAAGAGTTCAAGTAATAACAAAAAATGTTCTTAAAAAATTTCCTTAATAGTTATGACATAATTATCAGAATTAACCTGTTTGTAGCTGGAAAATTTTGCTATGCACTGGTTCAGTGATTGTAAGTGATAGATAGACCTACCCCCAAGCAGGTTCTGACCGTACAAAAAATGTTTAATGAAAAAATACATTTTGAAGGAAATATACAAAGAAATTGAGATTAAAAAGTATGTGAGTTATTTTCCAAATCAATTCTGCAAAAAAAAAAATAAGTATTGGTTATTATCGGCACCATAAGTTCGCAAAAAAAAGAAGAAAAAAAACTCAATTTTGTGAGTACAAATTAAATACGAATGTATC